TTACAGGCCCGAATTAAGGAAATAAATAAGTACGCAGAATACATTCCCTGCCTTGCACATTCATTAAATTTGGTTGCTAAGTGCGCTGCAGACTGCTGTACAGAAGCATTACTTTTCTTCGATTTCATTGAAAACCTCTATACATTTTTTTCCGCTTCTACCTACCGATGGGGTCGTCTTACGAATGCACTTAAAGATTCCGCTTCGAAAATTCCGATTTTGAAACGGTTATCAGACACTAGGTGGTCAGCCCGAGCTGATGCTACGAAGGCACTTTTGTGTGGTTTTACCATTATTAAGCAAGTATTGGAAGACATTTTCAATAACGTGGATCAGAAAGCGGAGTGCCGTAATAAAGCTTATGGACTAGTTTCAACGATGAATAAGTTAGAAACGGGAATAATGACAATTACTTGGAACGGAATCCTAGAACGCTTGCAAGCGACAAGTGCTTCGCTACAATCGTCTGATCAAGACCTTAATACGGGATACGCCCTTTATGAATCATTATATGGCTACGTCCAAGCAATGCGATCCACATTTACAGATATTGAGGCAAGAGCTAAAGATTTGACTAACTGTGAAGAATACCAGCAACAGACATCACGACGAATCAAGCGAAATACAAAGTACGACCATTTCAGCGGCTCTAATACACTCGACGACTTTGTTGAAAATCAAACACCTGGACAACGTTTCGAATTTCAGGTGTTTATTGTCATAATTGATAACGTACTGTCTGCTATAACTAAACGTATGAAAGCATATCATAAAATTACTAGTGTTTTTGAAGTATTTCGACAGATTAAATCTCTTACAACAGAAGAGATTTTGGAAAAATCGTCAAGAATGGTCAGCGCTTACAAAGATGATTTGGAGAACAGCCTAGGCGGCGAATTAGTGCAGTTCGCAGAGCTGCTGAAAACAGATGTGGCTACTGTAATTGACATCATGAAACAGGAGCCTCTGGAACTGCAATTTTATAAACTTTTAATTAATAATTCTTTGGAATCGTGTTTCCCAAATTTAGAAATTGCCTTGCGTATTTACTTGTCTCTCATGATCACTAACTGCAGTGGCGAACGTTCTTTTTCAACGTTGAAACGGATTAAAAATGAATTAAGGAACACTATGGGCCAAGAACGTCTCAATCATCTCACTTTGTTGAATATAGAGCATGACTTGCTTAAAGAAGTCGATATTGAAAGCGTAATCGCTAAATTTGCCCAAAATAAATCCAGAAAAGTTTATTTGTAATAGTTTTGTTTTATTTAATACCCTTTTGAGAATCGATAGCAAATCAGGGGCCCTTTGACAGAATTTGCTACAGGCCCCGCGCTGGCTTAATCCGGCACTGGGGCGATGTCCGCTCCTCTCGGTCGTACTCATTTAAAAGTATCACCTTAATTCATTGGTATCTAAGTTATTCATCAGGATCTTAATCAATTTGATTGGCGATTGACGGTGACGTCTGTCTAGCCTTTCTCATACATTCTTCATTAATTCTAGCATCGTAGAAGTGTGAGCAAGATAAACATATAACATACGAGGTACATATCTTAAGTATGTAGCCACCGGTCTAATCAGAAATCCAAAGGTTACCGGATTGAAGTGGTTTATGAAAAACGCACGTCATAAAAATACGTTTTTGTTTTAAGTTGGCTGATAAGTTCAGGCTTTGTTAATCGTGAATATTCGTCGATCGGTATCAGTCACTTATATGAAGATAACATTCTGTCAGCGTGACAAACCGCGTTCTTATTTGGATTGCGATATGAAATTGAGTATTGAACACCATATTTTAACCAATTTCTAAGTAAAGAAATTTATATTAGCTTCGCTTTCTTGTTGTAATCGAATTACACTTGTGTGTGTTTATCCGAGGTTCACTTGATGAATAAAAGGTACTAACTGGCATTGTTTCTGTATATTTTTACAAGATACTAATAAGCTTAAGCTGTCTTTCTTGATGGAGATTTGAAACCGAGCTCAAACGAGTACCAATGTGACTTTTTCCGAGTTATTTGTACTTTCTAAGATTATCCATAAACCACTGACATACGATAAAGGAAATATATATTTCCTTAGATCTAATTATAAGTATAATATTGCCAAATTTCCAACAAGCGAGTTGATTAGTGCTTTAACCTTCTCCGTGTAAGAAGAGAACTTTGCTTTGCTGTAAACGCTTATAATGCTGTGATATTTTTTTGCAAAAGATCAAAGTTCGTTATGCTTGATAATTGATACTGTGTTTTAAAACTGTAATCATTTATACTTATTGTATTACGATGGAAGCTAAATCACATACCAATGACTACGTTACGACAAATTTATATCACCCCATAAATCTAATACGTATATTTTTATATTTACAGTCGACGAAAATATTTATAGAAAAGTAAAACTTCGATTCTGATTCTTGTATTTGTCATTAGTAGCTAGAGATGGAAACGCCGATTCTCTTTTGTTATTTATGCATTGATCAATTTGTCCTTAGTTCCTTACATCATTCCTATCTTCCTTGATGTTTGTGTCAAAACAATGGAATCTCCTTAACCACTCTTTGAGCAATATCAAATTCTATTATTTGGACAAACACATTTTCAGCTAAAGGAGGTCCTTAAAGATCATCATCAGATCGGCATAAAGATTTTTTCGGCTCCGAAGATAAACCTAGAATATTTTCGGAAGTAACCTAAGTAGTATACTTATTGGTCTCCACTTTAACGTACCGGTCTTCATTCAGATAATTTAATAAAAAATATAGCTTGGCATCTTCGCAGGGCTTTCACGCTAAGGGTAATTTAGCATTGCCATTACAGTGCACTACTTGGCAACTCATTAGCTTTCGTTACGTAATAAACGTCACACATTGCGGGGTGTAAATATACATATATTTTAAAAAACAACCTTATTATCTAAGTACTTACCTGTTATTTTTTATTAATTTAGTACAGTTTCACGAACAACGGCCAGATTGTGTCATGTTGAAATAAATAAATATAATATAGAACTCAATAAAAAGTAATTTGATTTATATCTTCTATCTTTATTATCGGACACTATTTTGGAATGCCCAATAGTAAAACTGTAACCGTCGCAAATCAAGAGTCGTTACTTTGTCAAGCAAGTATGATTATCATTAGAGACTCCACAGGTTTTTGAAAAATATATTCATTAATTCAAATAAATAGAGGCAACAAAAACAACAAAAAATAGAGATCAGTTTTACAAAAACTTTCTCAAAACAGAATAAGAAACAGTACAGGTTAGAATTGTTTGAAAATTTACGTTAAATCAATGTAGTTATTCGATTTTTTAGCAACGGGATTCGCTGTGACAACGGCGAAAGGGTGAGGTTTTACTAAAAGGGCGTAAATCATCAAATGGCTTCTTCCACTCTGGGCGAGGGCTAGAGGAAGTGTCAGACACTTACATACTAAAACCTCCCCGTTCTTTCTTCTGCTGCAGAAAGAGGCCGCGGTACATTATTGCGGTAGGTGAGGAGGGTGGAGTGTGATAATAAAACCCATGTCCTATTTAATAGATGGTTGAAACCGCGGATTCCAGATATACTTATTAATATCTACTTACAAACTTCTTACTAAACTGGTTCTCTTATAAGTAAAAATAAATTGCCTTTCAATTTACCACAAATATTACTTATTTAAATAATAGGTATTCGTTCAATTTTTTCGCGCTTGACTGCAAACCGTCATGACTCAGACACGTGTAACGGCGGCATACCTATCGTAATATTTAACTATATGTCATAGGTATATATTTCCCTCGATTTTGCACATGGAAATATGAATACTAAACTTGAATTTTTAAGGTATGAATAGAAGAAGGTAATAGTCAGGCTTTTACAAATCAGGAAAAAGTTATTTTTTTTAAACTATTTGACCCTATATAATAATATTTTTTTTTTTTTAATATATTTATCATCTTTAGTTTACTTATTTTAAATGTTTTATACGCGTTACAGGTTCACTTTGTTACCTTTTTAAAATATAGAAGTAAAAATAAGGGCATTACAAAATTGAACATTGATTGAAAAACCTCATGGCCATCAACGTGATCGCTCCACTTTCTGTAGATTAAGATCGAACTTAGTAGATATGACACAGGATGTAAAAATGAGCCCTAAAATTGTATAATGTAGATCTTTATATTTTTATCATTTTGTTCCGAGGTACAAAATCTTGGATGACACTCTGTGACTATTCAACTTCGAACGTCAATTAAGGCAGGGCTGGAGATAATACTTAGATAACTGTTAGATAAACGATAGAATTTTTTGACCCTGTAGTCACTGTGACCTCCCGACTAACGAGATAATTAAATTAAAATATGTATAAGTCTATGTGCATTTTATACTATAAGCTATTACAGATCCGTTCAGAAATTACGTGAATTAGTAAAACATCCATCCATCCATTCATCCAGGAGAGTTACGAGTGCGTTTCACCACCTTTTGGGGATTAGGGCGTTGGGTTTTCAGGATTTGAAGACTTAAAGGGCGAAACACAAGACTGTGATTGTTACACGCCGGTTTTCTGTAAGGGCGTTGTATCAATCCGGTCGAGCTGACATATTCGTGACAAAGCATGGCTCTCCCACAACTAAAACTTTATAGTTTTAGTTGTGGGAGAGCCATGCATGAGAGCTTATGCTCTCATTGATTTGATAGAGTAGGTTAAAAAGGTCTAAATAGAAATGAGGATGGAGGACAAGTTTTCGATTTTTTTAAATTCTCTTTGAAAGGTCTGTAAGTTATCCTAAAACATTTATCCTTAAATCTCTAGCAAAAACTATTACTAATATACGCCGTACCTAGTCCAACACAGAATCGTGACGAAACTTGTTTTTTTTTTTTTCATTTTTGGTAGCTGGTAGCGTGGTGTTGTAAGTACAGCGTATATTTGATTTTTTTTCAAGAGATGATTTCCGGCCACCCTAAGCGCGACCACCACAGACGGGGCCCTATAGGGCTGATGTTCAGCCGGGGTTGCGGGGTATGCGCAATGAGGCACCGCGACCTCGGCCCAGAGCAGGAGAAGGAACAGGGGGGTTTTTAGTCAGTAAGAGTTTGACACTCCCTCCCACCCGACCCTGGGCAGGAGAAGTCATTTGATGATTTTCCCCTCACAAAAAAAAGCGTATATTTGTTTTAGGTTGATCAGAGTAGTATAGTATTTATCAATTCCTACAGGAAGTTACAGGAACTTTTCACTAGTTCGGAGGTGTCTCTCGTATTAAGTCTAGAAAAGATTACAATCATAATCAACATCATCATGAAATGCCATAGATAGCGCTAACGAAAAAAAAAATATTATGTTTCGGTACACTCAGTTCGGTCAGTCATGCAGAGTCATGCTAAGCTTCTTCGGCGCGAATGGGTCAGTTCGACAGGAATGATACCACGACCTCACAGAAAACCACAGCATTGTGTTTTGCCCTGTGAGTGACATTACCTTAGGCACAATCCTTCCTCTCCCTCAATCCCCCCCCCCCCATAACTCTAAATCTCTAAATCCCTAATCCCGAAAAGGTCCGCAACGCACTCGTAACTCCCCTCTTAATGCGGATGTCCAAAGGCGGCGCTGATTGTTTACCTTTAATCCGACCCCAAAATTAACAAAGATCTTTTGATTTGATTTTATATTTGATTGTTTCTGTTTATTCTACTTGATACTTTTATTTTTCCAAGTGCGTTATTTTCAACATAATTATATAATATCGTTACTGCTGAATAGCAAAAAGTATCTATAACTTCATAAAATTACGTTCATGAACATTCACGAAAAAAACTACGAAATAATCTATATAGATTTTGTGACAATTATATTCTGATAAGACATAGCTGTCATTCATTGACATTCACTTACGTTTTGCGCTTTGCGCGAAAACTCGAATTGTCAAAATACAACCCAGACGTTAGTGATGCACGTCCTATTTTATCGAATGATGCGGTCTACAATTCGATTTTTATTTAATTGAAACATATTTTTTCAGAGTGGTGGTGGGCGGGCGCATGCGTTGGCGCCGCTGTGCTGGTGTGTGCGGCCGCGGGCGCGCTGGCCCGCCCGCACCTGCGCCGCCGACACGCTGCCGCCGCAGCCGCCGCCGCCAACCCCGTGAGTCGTTGTAATACTATTTACATACATGGGTACATGTAATACATACTGTACTACATACGTGTAAACAAGATGTATTTACTTGTTTTACTGGAAGTTGGGTTGATAACAACATATGTTATACCTACTGGTAAATAAGCTCGAATTAAAGAAAGTAGAAGTAGAAATAATTAATTAATTATTGAATTCAATTATTTTTCTATGGGATAAACCCACATATAAGCTAAGGGATAGTCCTAATTAGCTGTAGTATTTAAATATTTTATTATCTACCTACAAAATCCAAATGAGTGGAATGTGCAAGAGACTATTTAACTTGATACCTATTAGTTGTAGGTAGGTAGGTAATTGGTGACATAGTCAATCTTCTAACAAGCAGAAATCGGATTTTGATAATGTAGGCAGGTGACAACACTACATCTTGACTGATACAATTTATGTGATTACGATTTCAGTTTTAGTTTACCTAAGTAAAAATAATCTTAAGCTGACTCACTTGCAAAATATTATCACTCAAATTATTTGAATATTACTTTATTTAAACGGAGAAAAAATGGAACACCTATGATTATTGGTTACGTACGTTCTATGACTACAACTCGATCATTGAGCAATGCCAACAGTCTCGTCTCGCGAGCCGACAAACGCGTCATCGCTCACTATTACAGTTATAGGTGCGCATATATAACAACTACGACGGTAGCAGCAATCGAGCTTCTTTTACATGTGTGCCAGCTCATATGCACACATACGGTACGCTCACTATAATCTACAAGCACACTCACAAGCACTGGCAACATCGTATCATCGCACCTACCGAAGTACCGATTGAGCACACAAAGTGAACTAGACAGATTATTTGTATGTGTGAGAGAGCAATGTTACACACAACGAATGCTTTAGTGTGCGGCGACATCGGGGCAGCCGGTGCACCGCCCGCCCGCCCGTCCTCCCCGCTACGCGACTGCGAACACCGCGCCGCGTCCGTCCGCGTCATTGAACAACAAGACTCGCTCGATGGCAGGCGTCTTTCTGCCAATATGAAAAAAGGAGTTAAGAAACTCCATCACAAAACACGCGATAGTGGAATTTATACGTTATTCTTAATTAATAAATAACTTTATTTTTATAGTGTTAATGCCTTGAATAACATATTTTTATTTATTAGTGAAATATAGTTAATTATTGTAAATGCGCTAATCTCTCTATAGTGCCCTGTGATTGTTTTGTTTAAAATATTTACAGCTTCAACAAAACAAATGCAATGTCAGTGATGGTGTAGTGAAATTAAAACAAAATTATATGTTCGTGATCGATTCACCTATTTGTGTTTCGATTAGAGTGCCATCGAATTTGGATACATGCACATCACTAACTGTCATCCATAGGTGGAAAACCTACAAAAATTGTGGACGACACTGTTTCAAATAGTAAGTAGTGTTGATATAGTCCTTAATTATTTTGATTGCATAAAATAACCTATCATACATAATAAATTTATACATATGTTGCTATCAGTATATCTCTGCTAAAAATATTGAATTTATAACCAATCACTAGTAAATATAATGTGGTATATGGATAGAATAGAAGAATGTTTGTACTGGAGCCGAGTGAGGCCCGAGGCGACTCGGATGGCCGCGAGACGGCGGGAGCGTGCCAAGTGATAAGAGGCGCGCCGATAGCGACGTCACACCCAGACGTTGTTTGTGTGAATTTAAATAAATTTTCATGACAGACAGTTCCGTAATCACCTCTTGCTGTATCATAGTCGTGACATGCCAACTCGATAATATGTGCCCAACTTGAAAATATACTCTTCAGAAACAGTGGGTTTACTCTCAGTTAACTAAATTTATAATCGTCTTACAGTCTTTCATTCATACAATTGATAGTAAAACTAAATTATTGATAATGTTAGGCATTTTAAAACAGAATGTGTCACAGCCTAATGTAAAAAAATACAGATAACATTATTATCACAACACAATAGTTATTTTGTGCACCATATCATTATAATTTGAATCACACTTTGATTTTCATGTGAATGTTCTTGGGAACATTAAATAACATTGTATTCTATATATATTATTGAAGTTGCATTTAAATGGATCACTGCTTGAAGCCGTCTGTCACTAGATTGTAATCAGAATTCTGATGGTGTAGTTAGAATGTGACACATTGTGTATTACCTTTGGCAAGTAGCTACTCCCTACACAAAGTGGATAAGAACTGTGAAAACAAAAAGACAAATGAATTGATAATAATCTAGATATAAAATGTTAGTGATACTGATGACATTTCAATAGACATTGTTATCATCTGATAGACAGTTCAGACACAGTTCTATTATTAAAGTCAAAGTATAGTAATATAGTATAATCGCTTGTAGTATCCCTTGCCCATATTGTCTTCATTTAAAACCAAATGATTTGTAGGTTATTTCATGAAACAATTCTTTGAGAATGAAGATAATGCTTAGAAATAAAACAGAATAAATATAGAAGTTGTTATACAGAAATGTCCAAATGTCAGTGACTGTAGCGTATGGTATGTTTCTGTTATTATTACTCTCAGATCATAACCAGTCTTATTTATGCATAGTGAACAGCTAGATTTTAAAATGTTAAAAATTGATATTTGTGCTTTATATGTAGATGATCAGTCTAAGTGGCTACCAATTCCCTATGCACCCTGAATAGACAAACATTTTATGCTTACACAAAGAAACTAGAAAAGATTGTTGTAAATATCAAATGTCACTTGTGTCATTGTCTCTGTTGTAGGCGGCCAGTGCTCCTTTAGCTCAAAACATATGTACTTTAAACACTCAGAATGTTTAAGGGCATTACCCTATACAAGCATTATTTTGATTCTGATAAGTGTAATCAGTGAAATGTTAACTTTTTATGCTTTCTGTTATCAAAATATTAGTTTGTATTTCATGAAACACATTGTGAATCAAGAACACCTTTCTTAGTTGATAACTGATTATTCATGCAAACAAAAGAATGCTGTGGTGCAATGACCTCCTCAATACTTGTTTACTATTTTAAAGTTATCAGAAATTATCAATAACAGAGTTGAAAAACATGATATACCCAACCCACTGAGCACTTTTATAACCTTATCTTGTTCAAATTATAATAAGAAAAAGAAATAACATTTTATCAACAACAATACTATACTTAATAAAAAGATATTTCCATAGTACTAATTCTTCTTGTACAAATACCAATTTAGGTAAAGTTGGAAACCAAAGACCAAATATAAATTATTTTAATCAACTGAAAGCTAAAAAGTCAAGCAGTACAGTATGGTTTTAAAATATATGCATGATAATCAAAAGTAACTAATTATGGAAAAATTAATGGAAGTATTTCACAGATTAACATTATATTGAAAGCAAAAATAAATATTTTCTATTTACTTATTACTAAAGCTACCATAAGAACTCCAGGTTACTATCTCTAAGCAGTATTATAATGATACAAAAGTTGATTGATTGATAACTTTTTCTTGATCACAAATCTCAGTAACTTTACCTTCCTAAATAGATAAAAAAGACAAAACAAAATCACGTAATAATTATAAATAATGCCCTCTATTGCTACCTTCTATTTCTTTACTTAGCAATGTTAAAATATCATCTACTATTCTTATTATGATGTTAATCAATTGACTTGCAATTAACCACTATTTTATTTCAATTAAGTTATTATTAGTATCAATAATAGCTACCACATATCAGTTTGCAAATTAGCTGATAAATTCCTTTATGTAAAATTCCATTATTGCTTGAGGTAAAATCAAACAATATTTTTGTGATAAAATATTATTCTATTTAATGTAACTAGGTATTTATTATTTAAACTCCATGATTTAGAAGAAGGTACTTAACTCTCAATGCTAAGTAAATAAACATTTAATACATTAGATACTTTCTGATGTAATTAGATAAATGTGATGACTCACTATGTTTATAATGTAACTCCGGCTGCATACACATATTCTAAAGGTGCAAAGTTCAAATAAAAGGTAGACATGACACAAAGTACACTCAGTAACAACAATAATATGTTATTCTATGTAATATTTTGTTCATAAAGCAAAGCATGTATACCTATTACATAGATGTGATTGTCAAATCCATCTATTTTAATTAGGTAGGACAATTGTAAAAGATTCTTGTTTCCGTTTTCTACGAACAAGATAAATTCTAAAGAAACATAGCTACCACTCGGTGATTATCTGCTACAAAAAGGTGCTTTATACACATGCAATTTGTTACTGTATTAGACATATTAGACACTTAGAAATATTGATTTACAATATTTCTAAGTGTCTATTAATCTTTTACATAAAATTCTAGTCAGTTAATCAGTTAATTTTACCAAAACACACACAGCAAAAACTTTATACTTTCATATGTTGATTATATTCATATTTTCGTTTTCTGTGTACTGTGTTTTTGCAATCATTTACTTATCAGTATCCAACATAATGTTCCTGTGTGTTGTACTTAGATTTTACAAAAGTACAGAAAATCTTTAGCCTGGCCTGGCCTGGCCTGGAAATCTGCCTCTAGTCAAAGTCTAGTAGCTCTACTCAATTTAACTTAGAATTGGGCAATCATGCCACTATGTTACCGTGTCTCTTAAGTGCCTATTAGGTATATAAATACAATATTTATAAGAAAGTAGTTACTTATAGTGATAGAATATTAACCCCGAGGATAACCACATAAGTGAGAGTAGTGTGTTGTGATTTGCAGATGCTCTCGGTACAAGTGCCGGGGTGCGCGGGCATGGAGCGGCTGGGCGCGCCGGGGGGACCGCGCCTACGGCACGATCACAGACATCACCATTCCACATTGTGAGTAAACCTAACCATTGAACATTGAACCTTATAGCCCTATGAAAGAGTGCCATATAGGATCATGTATCTGAACTGGCAACGCCAAAATCTTAGGTGATTCTTTACCTCACCCGTCATGTATGTAGGTGCCTGATAGCTACTTGATAAAAATCGAGGTCTAGCATATCGCACATGTTGCTGTTGTGTTATTTATCACCAAAACCGTAATCAGTATTCTAGATAATAGGCTAGTTACCTAAATAACGGAAGTCCTTTCTGCTTAGTCCTGATATTAAAAACGAAGGTCAACATCAAATAAAAAGCAATTTACACTTAGGTAATCAAAATTGAGAAGCACCTCTAACTGGGAGTTAGTAGGGCGCATTATATGTATAAATTACATCGAAATCAAATCCTAAATTATTTATTATCCTATAATATTTATTTATTTATTATTATAAAAATAAATCACTTCTGCTGCGCTGTTTGACGGTACTTACAACACGCGCACAATCCACTCCGAACGCCTGCTACTCGCTTTATAAACTATAAAGGTAGTATGATGCCATTAGTATGGTTTCTTCAGTTTAAGAGTGACGAGAAACTAATGAATTTGTTGGTAAATTCCAGGGAATGGGAGAAGCAGCAGAGGTTACAGGTACAGGCGATGGTGGGTCGACTGCAAGAGATGGTGGAGCAAGATGTACGCGCGAGGTCCGCGGCCGCAGCCGAGCGGCTCGGTCTGCCGCCCAGCATACAGCTGCCCGACGGCGAGTACGGGCAGGACGTGCATCTACAGTTACGAGTCCCTTATCAGGTATTAACATTATAACATTCATATTGCACGAACGCATTCTCTACACCATTGTATATTACATTCTTACTTATATTTGATCAGTAGAAGTATGTAAGTTCTTTATCATCCTGTTCGAGCGACTCCGACTGAGCGATACGATTATGTTTTCAGCAAGCCGAGCTGACGAGAAGCAGCTTCCAGCCTCCACCGAACAAGTGCGTGAGCGACGTGCCGGAGTGGGCGGGCGGCGCGGAGGCGGGCGCGGCGCGGCGCGGCAAGAAGGACGGGCTGCTGCAGAAGGCGACGCGCTGGTGGGTGCGCATGGGCGCGCGGCCGGCGGCGCCGTTCCTGCCGGCCGCGGCGCCGCCGCCGTTCGTGATGGTGCCGCGCCGCGCCGCGCCCGAGCCGCCCGCGCCGCCCGACGCGTGACCGCGCGCGCCGAGTCCACGCTTACATTCCATATCCGGGCCGCTCGGGCCGCTGCGCGCGCCCCGGACTCTTATAGACTTGCTATTTATTTATTCGGGAGTGCCGCGCCGCGCCCGTGTTCCTCGCGCCGTCTGAGAGTTTCGCGAAAACTAAGACTGAGATAAAGTAAAAAGATATAACGTTATAAAGTCTACGTTGAAGTATGTTGTCTTAGGTGAAATTGATTCAAAATAGAAACGATTAAAGTTATATTATAATATTTAATGAATCTTTCGGCGTGGCCCTCGATGATATCGTGTATTAGCCGAGGGTCCGTCGACGGTGAGCTGATGTCTTGCAGTGTACAGTTTCATGTTTAAGTGACCTATTTTAAAGTTTAATTTCTATCCAGCAGCTATAAATCTGTGTTTAAACAACTTTTATATTTATTTATAATTATATGTAAAGGATGCATATCAGTACAGTAAACGCAAGGAATATTAATTTACGTTGCATAGTTACTATTTTATTGTAAATATTGTCTCTAATTTAATATTATTAGATTAATTATGGCTGAACGCCAGAACCCGGGGGTCTTTTCAATTGAGTGTTTGCTACATTCCATATTTATGTTGAAATATTCTCGATAATACTTACTGTACTAGTTGCTTCTACCTGTTTACCTGTAGTCCTTGTATGTCTGTATCAATATCACGACTGTCTGTAGAGAGGGGCGCCAGCGCGCTGTCTGTGTCGATACCTAGTCATGCTGACAATAATTGACAATTAGTGACTGATATTTAAAATGCAGATGAATAGAAATCTCATTAGAAAATAGACAAAAAGAAAAATATTAAACGAATTAGTTATAAATTAGCTGTTTATTATTTATATTGTTTAGCCAGCGAAACATGTGCTGCATATTGCTGTGGTTAGAGACTCGTTGTTATACGATAAGTTATCGCTACTTTGCTGGTTAACTGCTGACACCTATATGGAGTATATGTTTCGCCGGCCATTATTGAAGTGTCACGACAGTCATTAACTTGTTTACTATCCATGATATCATCAACAGATACGAGATGTAGGTTTTCATCACCATTGTCTTACTCATACTTACAAAGAGAAACACCATTGGTTCGTCCATTGAATGATAGTGGGCGCTCACCTTATCATCCATATTTTAAATGATAGTTTGCAGTGAACACTTGTATTTTTCCTGTACATATTATAATATGTCAAAAAGTGTTTTGATTTCTAATACAATTACGGGTCTTAAGCCTAACACTTGCCGTTAGTAAGCTACAATGCTGGACGCTAAGTAAAGGTATTTTACAATAAAATGGCGCAATAGATGTAACTTTTAACTGTTATAAATATAACAATTTCCACAAGCTTCTATTTTCCTGTCATGATGGAAACATTTAAAGATATGTTAATTTAGATAAAAAATTCTAGTCGCTACCACTTGTAGTTTGATTCTATCCAAAACTGTTATATAACTTATTTATGAAAGCTTGAGGATGTTTACGTATTTATAACGTGCTCTGGAATCGTACGCAGCACAACACGACATAGGAAGTAAATTGAAATGTGCCCTATTTTCCAAATACCTATAACATAAGTACGTTGTTGTTACTTAAGAGATAGTGTAGTGCATTATTATCGCGAGTGCGTGTGAGCGTGTGTTGTCTCGTTGCATAATGTATGTTTGACGCGAAACAGTCGGTTGTTTGTATCGTTAGTAAAATGGCACAAAAGTTTGCGCATTTTATTGAATCTATTACATTGACAGCATTGGAGTGCTATACGCGGCCATTTTTACGGACTGAAACATAATGTAATGTTCAAAATATTAAATGAAATAAGTAATTATAATTACTTAAAACTGATTTGTTTTGTATATTTATTGTTTGTCTTCGATGTTTACATAATGGCGATTGATAAATAGTTCATTGAAAGACAACTTAGTATTTATTTTAAACTATTTGTATATACTTAATAAAGGGTAAAAGAGGCAGCCTGTGGTCATGGAAACTATGGCTTTGGTAATGATTTTCAACCCGCTAGTTCGAATTCTATTGAACAGGAATGGTGTGGTTAAGTCAAGTTCCGTATTCAAAAATAACAAACTAAATCTATAGATAGACAATTTTATTTAATTACGACGAGGACCTAAAATTTCATACCGAGCCAGACTTTACTTGGCATATGCTGTCCTTTCCACTCTGTATAAATAAGTAAATATTGTTGTGGCCTACGTCTTAAAATAGAGGGGTCTGTTCATTAAACACAAATTGTAGCATAAAGCATAAAATGTGCATGAAAAGTATTTCTCTATTGAGTGTCAAAAGTGGCATAAATTGAGTTGAGCATCCCTAAATGATCGAGTTGTACAGTATTCTGCATAACAGGACAAAAGTATAGAAATTAATTTTGCTATTTCTATATTTTTGTTTTTAATTTTACGGTCACAAGTATTCTAATACATACAGCAGCTTATTTATATCATTTTATTATGTCCCGCCATGTTTTTTGTTGCCTTAAAATTACGATTAGTGTCAAAAATGCTATTTTAGCAATCGTTGTACAAAATGCTGATGGAAATATAAAAGTTGTTTAAAATAGTTTCACAGTATATATATTTAATCTAGATATCAAACAATATTCCATTTGTCATATTAATAAGTAAAAGCAGAAGCAAATGTTTAATAATAAAAGAAAACTGCATTAAATTATGACCTACCAATAATGAACAACGATTTTTATTTCTAAATTCTACTAACACCAACACAAGAAAAAAATAGGATCTACCATCTATTAGGAATACTTTTAGAAATTCGTTTACTGAAAATATTTGAATATTGTTAGTTAGTAGTCGTCATAATCAGTTATTATGCAGTTTCTCAAATTGTTTTTTTATTCAATGTTACCCCAGCCTGAATTTTCCTATAACATATGGGTTTGTTTACATAATAGGAAAATATTAAACACCGCCTACCCATTTTAGATGTCGTAAAAGCAGATTGAGCAAACACATATTTGACACAGGTCGGACATTTTTTTTTTTTTGTCGGAGGAAAATCATCCAATGACTTCTTCCGCCCAGTGTAAGGCGAGATTGTCAGACTCTTAATTACTGACTCAACCTCCCCGTTCCCTCTCCTGAGCCCGAGGCCGAGGCCGAGGTGCCCCATTGCCCTGCGACCCCGGCTGAACATGGGGCGTACGCTCGGTTCTGGTTCTGGTCGGGTGGCGAGCTACCCTTACTCGGCGTCCGCAGACCCGCGCTTACGGTGGCCGGAGATCGGCTGTCGATCCCCGAGTCCGGAGTGTCGCCTACTGCGGCGGCTGGGGCGTGAGGAGGAAGATAACACCCTCGCGCGGCCTGCCTCCTTTGTTAGCATAACTGCTTCACAGAAAGAGGAGACGGCTCCCCAGTTCCTCTCACTACGAATCATATATCGACTAAGGCTTGTTGGCGCCGCCGATTACTTCACTGAGCACACGGCGGTGCTCAACCCAAGCATATCCTCCGGGACGATACGGTGGCCGTATCATAATGACGACACTCGGGCGTTCCCTCCCGCTGCATCCGAAACAGGAACCTCACGAAACTGCCTTTCCCTGTAAGCACCTGCATCAGGCGGAAGCCACTCCTCAAAAAAGGGTCTAACCGCTGCTATAGATAACAGCGTCCCGGCCCTCGGTTGCGACAGACGTTAATTCCACTCTGCCATGAGATCGCCCCAGCGACGCGCAACTGCGCGTGAACTGTAGACGCACACGACCGCCTTCGATCCCATGGCGGTGATCTGGCAAGTAGGTTTGCTGCCTCCCCGAAGATCGGGCGATAGCCGCGGATTATGCGGATAAACCCGCGGCTTTGAACTGTTATCTTCAGAAGAAGAGGCTCATAATCCACTCATAGACAATAACGAGCTGTTACATGTGGGTAGGTACGTCACAGTCAGATACGAAACAACAATAGATCACTCAAGTGGGTAGTTTCCCAGAACAAAAAGAAATTAGTTCAACTTTTCAACTAAGTTTCAAATAATAATATTATTATATTAATGCTTTCTATTCTTTCTCTTCTGAACCATCGACCGATTGTGACCGATTTAGATGTAATTTCATACCTACCTGCCTACTAGAGATTTGCGCCAATTTCAACGAAAATTAAGTACTGCACGGTTGACGCAATGGCCGGGCAACTAGTTGCTATGCAACGTGTCGCGGGTTCGATTCCCACTTGGAACAATACTGTGTAATCCACAAATTGTTGTTTTGCGTCTAGGTGCCTTGAATTGGTATGTTTGTAAACGCACCCACGACACATCATTTCGCACGGAAAGTTTTACATTCCTGAAAGTCCTTGTAATAAACAACATCTGATGAAACATTAAAAGTACCTAGGTATTTATCATAATGTTATGATCGTATTGCCAGAGACTGCACTCCCAAAGCATATGATGGGCAGGCCATAAGCTCAGGTCTCGAGGTGTGTGCGCCACGCCGCCACTGCACATTATTCCAACATTGTTTCACAACATCTGTGCTAGAACACGGCAGAATGTTTTTTGGACAATTAAAACAATAACAAAGATTCAGATGGACTTTAAAGATACTTACGCCGATTTCAAGCCGGTCTCGTAACGCGGCGTGGTGACGTGACGCACACGCCTCAAGTCCCGAGAAAAGACTTTTATAGCATTTATTTTGAAGTCTAATTCTAAACTTATCAATTTGCGTAAAATTCTTACAATTGAGTAAAATGTAGGAAGCAGTTTATTTCTTTTAGGCCGTAAATAAAGAAATTAAAGATTTATTTATAATAAACTAAATACCTACACAGACAATATGTGCCGCCCCCATAAGCCTCAATGAGCAAAAGTTCAATATTTCAGTCAAAATAATAAAATTTCATTGTCATAAGGCTGACCCCAACAGGCTACAACTTTTTTTATTAGCTATAGGTCGGCAAACGAGTTTCAGATCCGATCCGCCCACGAACAGAAACACCAAAGGAATTACAAGTGAGTTGCCGGCCTTTTGAGGATAAGGGATTCGGATATTTAAGAATGGAGGAGGTCGTGGTGGCCTGGAGGTTCGAAACCTGGCAAGTACCAATGTGACTTTTTCCGAGTTATATGTACTTTCTATGATTATTTAGACACCACTTACATACGGTGAAGGTAAACATCGTGAGGAACCCTGGTCTTATAATTTCTAATTATAAGTTTGAAATCGCCAACCCGCCGTTTGAGAAGAGGTCTTTGCTCAGAAGTGGGCGCTTATAGGCTGAAGAGGATGATGATGATAATATTTAAGGATTGGGCCTCCAGTAACCTCACTCACACGGCGAAACACTACTCTGTGCTTATTTCACGCTGGTTTCTTGTTAAACCATAGTAGGTATCGCTCAGGTCATGTGACCCATTCGCGCCGAAGCTTGGCTGTCGGAGAAATGGATGGGATTTATAAACTCGATGGTAGGCCGAAGAGGTGCAGGTTGTTTACTTCATTTACATCAAAGTTACGTTGTAATATTTTAGTCGGTAGGTATGAAAGATGACCGTGTAAGACAAAACTTGTGTTGAAATATTGTTGTGGTCTTTTTGTAATACAATAAGATTCCAAAGGAGGAAATGTGACATTCATAAAATGTTCTTATTTGGCTACCCAATTAATGGAGCAGAGACATCTCTCAAAACCACTTTAACTTTGAACAATCACATTTTTCTTTTCACCGCTATCTGACATCTTGGTTTTTTGTAAATTATTTAATCTGGCAATACAACGACAACAACTGTCAAAACTGTGCCGCGAAACCGCGAAACAGATGATTTATTTTGTTGACTATTGATAATAAAAAGTGCGACTGATTGTAATAGTCGATAATTGGATAGTAAATGTTAAGTCAAAATTTATTTTTTCTGTTAATCCCTGGCACCACAGAGCACTAAGGGCGAAAATGCAAATGTTCATTGACTGGTAAGTTTATAAACAAAATATAACCTATAAAATCTTACTTGTAAATAAATTCTAGGCCTCCTTATTTATTATGTTTACGTATTTAAACTGCCTTTGTTCAGTACTCATCCTTATTTGGACGTTAGTCATATAAGTATCGCCTAGTGACCACAAACGTTTTCATGAAAATAAACCATTCTATATGAATAAACTTGGACTTGCCTGGAAGTCCAAGTTAATTAAGAATATTTATTGGTTGGTTTTCGTCACTTAAGGTATTGGTAGTATGTGATCTATATAGTTATTTATGATTAGCAGAATGAAAACTAGCCTATGTATTAATCCATAGTATAATCTGCCTCTGTGCCAGTTTTCATCCAAATCCATTCAGTAGTTATATTTAAAAGTCAGTAAAAGAGTAACAAACATCTAACTTTCCATAACTATAATTTCGAAATCAGGATTTAAAACAGCACAAGATTACCTGAGCCTTCTTAGAATAAGAAATTTATTGTATTATAAAAAATAACAACCACCCCTATCACTTTTTGTGTAAGTATGTTTTGAAAGTAAATTAATAAAATAGTACTTACACATACCTCTCTGCACCTTTTTGATAATATACCATACGAAGTTAATATAAATATCTATATTAACATATCTGCTCTGCTGCTATCATGGTCCATGGTACAAGTTTCCTGCTCAATAAATAAATTATGAAGTTACAATAAAGTTTGAAAGCTGTTCAACAATTGATGATAGATATTATTTTTACATGCACAGATACTTTGGTGTACTTAAAAAGTGAAGATCAAGAGGTGTGTAATTCCTTAATCATAAATTATATGAAAAATTACGCATATGAAAAAAAATTACCCATATTACCCATATGAAAAAGTTACTAATGACTGAACACTGATAAAATCATTATTATTCGTGTTTTTCTAAGCTTGTTGAATAAAAGATGCTAGGGATTTTCCTATTTAAGTCTATTCAAATTTGTTAACTTATGTACTGTGCAAAAAATTATATAAAACTGGCCGGTAAAAATAAAACATAATTTTCTGAAAAATTAAAAGTGCTTATAGGATGCTTCGAACATTAAGTCCAAAGAGTATGTAACCACTATGTTTAAGAGACGGGACTCCCATACAAGCCAGTGGAATCAATTTACACGGCACTCTAATACCTACATTGCAATAAATAAAAGATGTCAGCCGTCAAAATCAATAGTACCAACCTAAAAGACCAAATAGTTCTGTGGTAGCTGTATACTAGGTTTAGTATCGATATCGATAATATTTATAGGGTAGAAATCGAGGTCATATTACTTTTTTAATTTTTAGTTTCGATCTTTAAGAAAATAAAGTTCGGATTTGAAATAAAACATTGTGTTATATTAAAAACTAAAAAATATATTTTTGTAATAATATTCAAATTCATGTTATATACGGACGGTGTGTTAAGGACCTAACTAAAATTATTTAAATTAAGTGGACTCTAATACTTAATACATATATTGGTTCAGTAAATTGGTTCTATGGGCACATACACTAAATCTTCTTTGCCAACAACTTTCACCCACTGCCGGCACCTGAAAAATGGAAAAATTCAAAATGGACAGTCCCTGACATGAATAACTCTAAATTGTGTAAACAGCTGGCGTTCCTTATATAATAAATGCATAAATTTTACGAATACAGTATACATAAATTTTTATCTACGTTTAATCATTAATTTCTTAAAATCTACTGGGTTTGTCGTGTCACAACTTTGTTCAACAACATCTAATAACATCATTACTTCTTTGGTGTGGTCTGGAAAGTAAATCACGAAAGAATAAATAAATCAAGGGATCTTTGGAGTTTAGCCCACACATAAGTCTGTGACTATCGATACTTGAGGTACATCACTAGTACACAATAAGTACATGAAAATCAATTCACATGTATTTGTAGCCTTTTATACTTAGAATTAAATAAAATTATATCATTTAATGCTTACCGGTCCTCATCCAAAGGAAATTTCGCCATAAACATCCCTTTCTCGCCATTTTTACGACCGGATCGTCCTCCGCAGATTTCACAAGTTAGAAACCGTTTTTTTGGTGACATTTTACTTGAACACGTAACTAGTCACAGCCGTATCACTAACCACTAATTAACTAAACAAATTATACGTAAATTTATGAAATTATGAAAATAACAACATAAACTTACAAAAGCAACGACATTCAAAGTTCAAAACTTCAAACAAAATGGCCGACGGATTAGTGAAAGAAAGAGAACTGTACTGAGGGAGTGGGATGGCAATATCCGGCTACTTCCGTGTGCCATTATTTGCCGTGCCAAGCCCATACATTTTTATTTTTCTTCTAAGTTGCGCTAGGCTGATTAAGTCATAGAGTTATGTAATAATACTAAAGTAAGCATTAAGTTCTCCGAAGCAATTTAAATAACGAATAAACAAATAAAAATAGGAGTGTTTTTTTCCTTAATGGCAACTTAGGAGTGATGTTCGCTTAAATTATTTATGAACGCAGTTAAAGTGACAGCTCTCAACTGTCATTGTCATGGATGACGACATTTATAGTTTCAGCACTGCAATACTTAATGTAATCGCGAAATCTGCGTTGTAAATAGCAGATCCTACAACTATTAAATAAATAAATATTGTTTCGTATATAATAATTTCGATATAAATAGTATATTATTATTAAATACTTACTTCTGTTTGTCTAATTACAACAAAACCATCGATTACAAAGTAAGTATAAAATGTTTTTAAGTAATTTTTAGGTTTAAAAGTTATGTTTATTGCATTGTTGTTTATTTTATGAATATAACCTGTACAATTTATAATAATAAGCGATATTTTTTAGGTGTGAAAGTGTATTCTACCAAAACTAAAAATAAATTGGAAAAGTAACTGGTAATTAAAATGGGTCCCCCAAAGAAGTTCAAGAAATACGATTCAAGAACAGGCAGTGATAGATCAGGTAAGCTTATTTATGTGGTAATGATAGTTCAATAATTTCCTTAAGAAATAATAATTTGCTATACAATAATATTGCTGCACATGTTGATAGTGAACATTGTAGAACTTGTTGTAACATGTCATATCAGTAAGGACCATGGTAAATAGTCTGTTATTATAAATAGGTAAAAAGAAGAAAGTGGAAGAAGAAGTAACAATAGATCTAGTGGATGATGACAATACAGAGAATGTGGGAGTACCTGGTGCTGCAATGCAGGATGCAGAGAAAAATGATCAAGTGCCAGAAGATGAATTTGGTGCCAAAGATTACAGGTTCAAATCATTATATTCATAAGATTAACAGGAAAACATCACTTTAGTTTGTTAATAAGTTCTGACTGACATTTGGACATAGACATATACTATATACTTACTAAATATAATTTGCTTGAACTGAAGAATTCACTGTATTTTCATATTTCAGAAGTCAAATGCAACTTAAAACTGATAATGCTAGCCGCCCACTGTGGGTGGCACCCAATGGTCACATATTCTTAGAAGCATTCTCACCTGTGTATAAACATGCTCATGATTTTCTCATTGCCATTGCAGAACCTGTGTGCCGGTATGTAGACATATTTTTTTTATTTATTCCATATTAATTCAGATTTACTTTAATAATTGTTCTAGTTTAGACAGACTTATTGCTACTAATGATGCCCTTGTTCACATTTTATATGAAATGAAATTTTGAAACTCAGAGCATATTGATATGGATTACTCACAGATACTAGTCACACAATAGTGTTGAATAATACCATAATGTAAAGTCATTGTGTTTATTTCAACGTTTCATTTTCAGGCCCCAACACATACATGAGTATAAACTGACAGCATACAGTTTATATGCTGCAGTGTCTGTGGGTTTGCAAACAACAGACATTATCGAGTATCTACAAAGGCTTAGCAAGTGCTCTGTACCAGCTGGCATTATAGAATTTATTCAACTATGTACATTGTCCTATGGAAAAGTGAAATTAGTGCTGAAACATAACAGGTGAGTTTAAATCAAAATAATTATTTTAACAGCACATTTGGTGCAGTAGGCTGCTCACACATCAGGTCGAAAGTTTGATTCTTGCTAGGAATAAACTTTGTGTGATTGTAACTGGGTGGCTTGTGTTAATGATTTTGTATGTTTGTAATTGCACCCACGACACAGGAGGAAATCGCAGTTTGATGCAACATTTGGTTTCAGAAAAGTCAATAAATAAATCTCTGTCAATCAAACTGTCAGTGAAGCTGTCTTTGTTGAAGTCATTGTTATACCTACATGTGTTTTATCCTCTCTATTTCTAGGTATCTCGTGGAGAGTAAACATGTGGAAGTTCTTCAAAAGTTACTCCGCGACCCTGTTATTCAGCAATGTAGGCTAAGACGCGACGGCGATGATGACTTCTTATCGTCAGCACTGCCCGATAAGCCGGCAATGTCTCTAAAACCAGGTAGGTCTTCTGTTTAGTTTGAAAACAATCAAAAACTAACAATTATCGTGAATCTCGTAAAATAAACTCGTGCAATTCTTCCCACGATATCCGTGAGAGGCAGTTGATAGTCCTTTTTTATATGTTAGAACGGCAAACGAGCAATCTGATTACCTGATAGTACGAGGACTGAGGAGTTACGACTCATAATTCCTCCGTTATTATGGGTGACGTTGCCGACTTTTTGGGGATTAAGGATTTGGGGAGTGGAGGAATTGGACTTTCAGTAACCTCACTCACACGGCGAAACAACGCTTGTGGTTGTTTCTCGCCCGTTTTTTCGAGGCCGTAGTATCACTCCGGTCAGAGCCGACTCATTCGTACCGAAGCATGGCTCTCCCACACCTTTTATTTCACATATTCATTGTGTACCAAATGTATACATTTTTTTCAGGTGAAACAAGCGAGAAGCCGCCTCCGGCTAACGGCACGGTACCAGATGACATCAGCCAGTTCTACCAGCAGCTAGACAAAGACGACGACGAGGACGAAGCCACCGACATTACAGCCAACACTGCCGTCGCCTTCGAAGTCGATCCTGATAAGATTGAGGTATTTTTTTTTATGTGATAGTTTAGCAAATGAGCGCACGGATTACCTGATGGTAAGCAACCCGAAACTCGAAAATGGTAAGTGGCCGAACGGCGACGTTCATTGGGGTTGGATGAAAGATAATAAAAAATCTATGTTTAGTTACTAAGCAATTATTTTTGTAACAGGTGATACAAAAGCGATGTATCGAGCTTGAACACCCATTGTTAGCGGAATATGACTTCCGTAACGACACCATCAACCCTGACATCAATATTGACTTGAAACCCACTGCTGTGTTGCGCCCCTACCAGGAGAAGAGTCTTCGGAAAATGTTCGGAAATGGCCGTGCGCGGTATGTAATGAATTAATATTTCAATACTGATACGTGTTTGTCTCATAACTCATCACTACATCGTATAAAACAGTCACTCTCTCTCTCCCTATATCTCTATGTATGATTAAATCTGATGAATTTTGATGCGATTTTTAATAAATAAACGGGAAGATTTATATAATTATATAACTAGCTGACCCGGCAAACTTCGTAATGTCTCAAATATAACGTGATATAATGTTCCTTTAATAATCTACCCTGGACTTCAACGAACATTTTAAGACGAATACTATGCTAAACGCACCAGCCGATCTCGAGTTTTAGCGAGAGTAACGATCTGCAATTTATTTTTATATACATATATGATAACATGCATTTAATATGTCGTGGTGGCTCGGAGGTTAAGAAGCCCGCTTCTCACGCACGAGGTTTGGGCCCGAAACCCGGCAAGTACCAATATGACTTTTTCTTCCGAGTTATATGTACTTTCTATGATTGTTTAGACACCACTGACATTTTTTTTTTTTTTTTGTCAGGGGAAAATCATCCAATGACTTCTCCCGCCCAGGGTAAGGCGAGAGAGAGTGTCAGACTCTTACTGACTAAAAACCCCCCCCGTTCCTTCTCCTGCTCTGGGCCGAGGTCGCGGTGCCTCATTGCGCTTACCCCGCAGCCCCGACCACTGACATACGGTGAAAGTATATAAACATCGTTAGGAAACCTGGACTTATAATTTCTAATTATAAGTTTGACCAACCTGCATTGAGCAAGCGTGGTGACTAATGCTCAAACCTTCTCAGTGTGAGAAGAGGCCTTTGCTCAGCAGTAGGCACTTATAGGCTGATGATGATGATGATGAATAGTGAATAAACTTAGTATCAGCATTGCATCCGAGCGAGTCGTTAGTGAGGAGATAAAATGATGATTTTATCAATAAATGGGTGATTTGTTGTGTACAGGTCAGGTGTGATAGTGCTACCGTGCGGGGCGGGCAAGTCGCTGGTGGGCGTGACGGCAGTGTGCACGGTGCGCAAGAGGGCGCTGGTGCTGTGCAACTCGGGCGTCTCCGTCGAGCAGTGGAAGCAGCAGTTCAAGTGCTGGTCCACCGCCGACGACAGCATGATCTGCAGGTATTACTTTTTTATGGTATAACTCGGCAAACGACCAGACGGATTACTTGATGGTAAGCAATCGGCGCCGCCTATAGACAAAGGAGTTAAGAGTGTGTTGCTGGCTTTTTGGTGATAAGGGTTGCGGATATTTAAGGAATGGTAAAGGATAGGGGAGGAGGAGTGATTGGATCTCCGTTAACCTCACTTACACGGCGAAACATAACGCTGTGCTTGTTTCACGCCGGTTTTCTGTGAGGCCAAAGTATCAGTCCGGTCGAACCGACCCATTCGTGCCGAAGCTTAAATGCTACCTACATCGTACCATATTGTCGAATATTGTATGAATGTCCCTCTGCCGGGGTTGCGGGATAGCGCAATGAGGTACCGTGGCCCCGTTCTTGAGCAGGAGAAAGAATGGGGGTTTTTAGTCAGTATAAATCTAACACTCCCTGCCGGGCGGTAGGAAGTGTCAGACTCTTACTTTACCGTGATTTTACACCCACAAAAAATATGTGCCTGTATTTGGATAAAGTTTTATTCGTTCTTTTGGTTCATACTGCTTATACGTTGGAAATTATTCTGTCATTAACATTCATTCTCTCTTTACTGACTACTTACAGATTTACATCAGAAGCCAAAGACAAGCCGATGGGTGCCGGTATCCTGATCACAACTTATTCTATGATCACACACGGACAGCGGCGCTCGTGGGAGGCTGAGCAGACTATGAAGTGGCTTCAGGCACAGGAGTGGGGCCTCGTCGTTCTCGACGAGGTGCACACCATACCCGCCAAGATGTTCCGAAGAGTACTCACTATTGTACACTCACATGCTAAACTTGGTAAGGTGCTACATTATTACACACGAGATATTAGATACTACAGATAATTTGTTTAAAAGTGCCATTATTTGATTTCATAAGTCGTTTATTTCATTAATTATTATCTTATGTAGTATAATATATTTAAGTTTAGAAGAGCCATGCTTTGGCACTTGTGGGTCGGCTCGATCGGCCTTATACCACTGCCTCACAGAAAACCGGCGTGAAACAACCACAGCGTTGTGTTTCGCCGTGTGAGTGAGGTTACCGGAGGACCAATCCTTCCCCACCCCCAATTCCTAAATTCCCAAAAGGTCGGCAACGCACTCGTAACTCTTCCGTTCTTACGGGTGTTCATGGGCGGCGCTGATTGCTTGCCATCAGATAATCCGTCTGCTCGATTGCTATCCTATCACATAAAAATAAAAGTTATTGATATTATTGAAAAAACTTACTCTACCTTAGGTTTGACTGCAACACTACTTCGAGAAGACGACAAAATCGCAGATCTGAACTTCTTGATTGGGCCGAAGCTATACGAAGCGAACTGGCTGGAGTTACAAGCGAATGGGTACATCGCGCGAGTGCAGTGCGCTGAGGTGTGGTGTCCCATGACACCGGAGTTCTACAGGGAATATCTTGTACAAAAGTAAGTATTACTATTATTTTATTATTATATCAGGTTTTCTACCTAACATTTTTTAAGGAAACTTTCGTGACCTACGATCTAGGGTCAAAATTTGCAATTGCACTCTACCAATATGAAAATGTCAATCTATGCTACAAATTAATCAGTCAAGGACCCGAGGGTCAGAGGTACCTGTAAAAAATGTTGACTGGTAAAGTACAGCTGCACTTTTGACCCTCACTGTACATAAATATTATAATAATGTTCATAGCAATACTAATACTAAACTTAATTTTCAGAATAAATAAGAAAATGTTGCTGTACGTTATGAATCCTTCAAAGTTCCGTGCGTGTCAGTTCTTGGTGAGGTATCACGAACGACGTGGCGACAAGACAATAGTGTTCTCTGATAATGTTTTCGCTCTCCGGCATTACGCCGTCAAAATGAATAAGCCATATATTTACGGGCCCACGTCACAGAGCGAAAGAATTCAGATATTGCAGAATTTTAAATTCAATCCTAAAGTGAACACGATATTTGTCAGTAAAGTAGCCGACACAAGTTTTGACTTACCCGAAGCAAATGTTTTGATTCAAATTTCGTCTCACGGTGGTTCGCGGCGACAGGAAGCCCAACGGTTAGGTAAGCATATTAAAACTCTATTTAAAATAGAAGACGCGTGCGAATTTCATTGTGTACCTATTTAAAAATGTTTTTGTTTATCAGGTCGTATATTGAGAGCGAAGAAAGGTGCGTTAGCGGAAGAATACAATGCTTTCTTCTACACGCTGGTGTCGCAAGACACACTAGAAATGGCTTACAGTCGTAAAAGACAGCGGTTTCTCGTCAACCAAGGATACAGCTACAAGGTAACAAATACAGCAAAATGTTTTTAAAGATTTTTTTAACAAAACACGAGGCATAAAGTCGTCTAATGTCTTACAATTTTTGTTTGTAGGTCATCACAGAACTAAAAGGAATGGATCAGGAACCTGATCTACTGTATGGTACGCGAGAGGAGCAAGGCTTGCTGTTACAACAGGTAATCACATTTACTCAAATAATTAATCTTCTTTAAAAAAACTTGAAACAATTAAATTAATAATTAGGCATGTTGTGTGGAGAGTACTCTCTTTGTTAACTTTGAACTATAAGCAACATCATCAGCCAGCCTGTGACTACCCAATGCTGAGCAAAGGCCTCTTCTCAAACGGAGAAGGTTTGAGCATTATTAATAAGGCTCACTCAAGGGTGATTGGCGATTTAAAACTTATAATTAGAAATATAAGTCCAGGTTTCAAACCCGCTCTCTCATGCATAAGATGCGGGTGTTAACCTCCGGGCTACTATGGCTTTGAACTATAATACCCTTAAGCAATTTGGATGGAAATCTTCCGTAATAATAAAATACAAGCAACAGAAAAGCGTTGATATAGGTATAATGTGTGTATGTGGCAGGTGCTGGCTGCGTCGGAGACGGAGTGCGAGGAGGAGCGCGAGGGCGGCGTGGGCGGCGCCGGGTCGGGCGTGGCGCGGCGCGCCGGCGCGCTGTCCTCGCTGGCCGGCGCAGACGACGCGCTCTACCTCGAGCACCGCCGGAACGCCAACGCACAGAAACACCCGCTCTTCAAGAAGTTCCGATACTAATACTAAATGCAGTACGTGCGTCGCTACACTCTATCTATCTACTGGTTTCCGGCCGCGTGGTATGTTTATAAAAAGATCCGTCCAGCCGTTTTGGCGTGATTGAGTAACAAATATCCAAACATCGTAACTTCTTCGTTATATCAAGTCGTGATTTCGTTTATACACCAATATATTATTATTATGCACTTCATACATTTCAGATGATCCTAAAAAGGTTGTCAGTGGGCGTTGTTAAAGAAATATGCTTACGTTCGGTATAATTTATACAAAACAAATAATATCGGGATTTATTAAAGTAAAACCGAACATCGAACGCTATTTTTTGCTTGAAAAAAATAAAAATAAAGTTCATTTACTATATTTTGGTTTCATTTTAATTCCTATCCCACCCGATAATTGACTTTTATTACTTATATATACGTATTTATTTCAGTAAAACTGAAAACGATGGAGGGATTCCTGAGTGGGCGTTGGTCGAGCTCCAGGGACTTATTCAAATGAAAAAAGAAGGAATCACAGAAGCGACAGTGGTTGGCGATTTGCATTACTACAATAGAAACAAACATCCAGTTTTAGTTCTTGGCCACCATATTCTCAATGGTAAAGAACAGAAACTCGAGCAACCAATGGCGGTCATTGAAAAAGTTATTGTAGATGACAAAACTAGCTATAAAGTGAAGGCTGTTATCAAAAAGAAATTATTATTTAAATCCAGACCTAAGCCGATTATTTCTAATGTAGCAGAAAAGGTGTGATAATAAATATACAAGTAATAAAGTTTATCTCAAATTATATAATTGTTTTTATTTAAGTACATATTTATTTCAATGTCTATATTTTGGAAGTAAATTTTAGAATACAATCTAAACTACAGAAAACAGCAAAAGGTTAGAAGGGCTCGCATGATAATTTTACAAGTTGAGATAAGTAATGTCATTTCTAGAGTTTCAAAATATGTCTGTTACCAAATTTCACACAAATAGGTTCAGGAGTTTAGGTGTGAAGAAAAGACACAGACAGACAAAGTTACTTTCGCATTTATAATAATGTTACGTGCCTGACGTCACGTTCCTGACTATGCGGGCTTGGGTTACGGGATTGGATGAAATGAAACACTAATACCAGATTTCAGACTTTCTATTGCACTTAAGTTACAGCGTCCACGGAGTTAAGTTATCGGCGTTCCTCTCCAGCAGAGTCCGGCTGACTGACACAACTTTGCCGTTCACGCTGACTTAACTCACTTAACCGACTGCACTTCACTATTTCACTGCACTTCACTATTTCACTCACTTTTCTTCTTTTTCACTTCTTCCTTTTCTTCCGAATCGCTTTAGACTTAGAACTCAACTGCCAGCGGTGACCGCAGTTCCGCTTATATACCCCCGGTTCAGGTTCTGGAACATTCAATTTCGTTATTCTTTTTGATCGTCATGACTCCAGAACCTTCCAATAATTTCGTTACTCATTTTTATTTATTCTCCTTCTCGCTCTTTAATTTTTCATTTCTTTCACACAAATAATTCCAGAAAGTTCCACAAAACTTCTATCAACTAAAAAACTACATGCTTACGGCGGGACTCGAACTCGGGGTCTCTCTGGTATAATCCACACGCCTTACCGATTACACCAACTAGTGTTGACAATTCACGACGAAATTTACAATCTCTAGGCAACGTTTGACAACCATCCATTGACGTCATGATGTCAAAGAGTTTGAACCACTTTTCCGTCACACTGCCCCCCTCTTAGATTCGCTCGTCCCGAGCATCGTTGCTGCCGTAATACCTCGCCAACCTGTCTATATGGACAACTTTCAAAGGGCTCCTTGAAGTCTTCCGAATTCTGTAAGTAATGTCATTGATCTTCGTGACTATCTCATAAGGACCTTCCCAACTCGGTTGCAGCTTCGGAGATTTTCCCTTCCTTCTGACTGGATTATGAAGCCAGACCAATGACCCCTCTTCAAACCCAACAGAATTGGCTCGTCGATCATAGCGCGTCTTTGCGCGATCACTAGCTTGAAAACCGGCCTCCCTGATCTGCTCATAAATGTCCAACATTTTTGCCCTTAACTCGCTTATGTAATCGCTAAACTCGGTGCGAGAGTCGCCAGGTGGACAGCCCGATACAAGATCTGCCGGTAATCTCAATTCCCTTCCAAAATTTGCAAATGCAGGCGTCTTTGCGGTACTTTCATGTACAGCAGTCCGATAGGCAAGCAAGAAGAGAGGTATGTAAGTGTCCCAATCTCTCTGATGGCTGTCAACCACCTTTGCTAAGTGTCGCTCCAATGTTTGGTTGAAGCGTTCGACCATTCCATCTGACTGTGGATGATAAGGGGTCGTTCGAGTCTTATGGATTCCCAAAAGTTTACAAGTTTCCTGAAAAACTTGGGATTCAAAGTTCCGTCCTTGATCACTGTGCATCTCCAAGGGTACTCCAAATCGGGTGAATACTTCGTTTACCAACTTCGTCGCTACAGTTACTGCCTCTTGATTCGGTATGGCAAAGACCTCCGGCCATTTTGTAAAATAATCCATAACCACTAAAACGTAGCGATTGCCCGAATCAGTGATTGGAAATGGTCCAGCGATGTCTAAGGCTATTCTCTCCCAAGGCATACCAACATTGTAGATTTTCATCGCCCCCCTGCTCCTTGTTTGTGGACCCTTGACAGCTGCACAACTAGTGCATTTCCGGCACCAATCTTCGACGTCATATTTGCAATGCAACCAATAAAACCTCTCCTTGATCTTCACCAAAGTCCTCCTAATTCCCAAATGTCCTCCAGAAGATCCATCATGGAACGCTTTTAATACATCCCTTATTTTTGAACGAGGCACCACCAATTGCAAATGCTCGTCCTTGCCGTTTGTTGATTCCCATTTCCTGCACAGAAGTCCGTTATGCAGCGTAAGGCTTTTCCACTGTGCCCATAAACCTTTCGTTACCGCGCTATATTGGGCGACGTCACTCCAACTTGGCTTGTTACCACTTCGTAGCCACTCCAGTATTGGTTTAATATCTGCATCTCTTTCCTGTTCTAATTTCATCGCATCATCTCCCCATGCCTCGTCAACAGTATCAGTCCTTATCACCTTAAGAAAAGCAGTTTCCTTCTTAGCACAATGTTTGCAATCTTCCACGCATGGGCGTCTCGATAATGCATCTGCGTTGCCATGAATTCTTCCGCCGCGATGTTCGATTTCAAAGTCGAATTCCTGAAGTTGTTCCAGCCATCTGGCTACTTGGCCTTCGGGATCCTTAAACTGAAGCAGCCATTTCAAAGCAGCGTGATCAGTTCTGATCAAAAATTTCCGTCCCAGTAAATACTTCTTGAAATGGTGCAGGGTTTTGACTACGGCCAGCAATTCCCTCCTGGTCACGCAATAATTCCTCTCTGGCTTGGATAGTGACTTGCTGAAGTAAGCAATAACCTTCTCCTGCTCACCATCGCGTTGTGAAAGGACACCTCCTATTCCAATATTGCTGGCATCCGCATCAACTACGAATATTCCTTTCGCGCTGGGATATCCGAGAATTGGTGTGTTACAAAGCCTTTCTTTTAGTTCTCGAAAGGCTTGCTCACAATCCTCGTCCCAAACAAAGGCACGTTTCTCCTCTGTCAATCGATGCAATGGCTTGGCAATGTCCGAGAATCCTTTCACAAACCGCCGATAATACGAGCACAATCCAAGAAATGCCCGAACTTGCGTTTTGTCTTTAGGTGTTGGCCATTCCTTGACAGCGACAGTCTTGGCTGGATCAGTCTCAATTCCTCTCTCAGAAATAACATGTCCTAGATAATTCACTTCGCGCTTGAAGAAAGAGCATTTCTTTGGACTCAACTTTAAATTTGCTCCACGCAGCTTGTCGAGTACCTTTTCCAATTTCCTTAGATGATCGTCAAAATCCCGTCCAACAATGATGATGTCATCGAGGTAAACTAGGCAGGTTTCGCCCAGCAGACCCGCCAGCACCTGTTCCATCAAACGCTCAAAGGTTGCCGGTGCATTGCATAATCCAAATGGCATCACCTTAAATTGCCAGAGTCCCTTCCCAGTTGAGAATGCGGTCTTTTCCTTGTCCTTGGGATCCAAATCCACCTGCCAATAGCCGCTTTTCAGATCGAGCGTTGAAAACCATTTCATGCCACTCAGTGTGTCAAGTGTGTCATCGATTCTTGGTAACGGGTAGCTATCCTTCTTGGTTACATCATTCAATCGTCGATAGTCTACGCAAAACCTCGTTGAACCATCTTTCTTCTTGACAAGCACGACAGGTGAACACCAAGGGCTAGAAGAGGGCTCTATCACGTCATTTTTCCTCATATCGTCAATCATTTGTTCAACCTCTTTCTCACGAGCGAATGGTATGCGTCTGGGCCTTTGACGAATTGGCATTGTATCACCTGTGTTTATTTTATGCTTCACCACACCAGTTCGGCCAATATCACCATCGCTTCTTGAAAACACATCAGAGAATCGAAGAAGTAAATTTCTAGCCTTCATAGTCTCCACTTTTGTCAGACTTTTGTTTTCGTCTAAGATTTTCGTTACAAAGTCTATTCCCGTACTGTCCTTTTTCACAAGATTCTCTGAGCATTTTCTTATCCAGGCCACTTCTTCCAATACGCCCACAGGCTCTCCTTCTTCAATCGTAATTTTTGAATCACTGAAGTTGAATACCGGAATGCGGTTGACATCAGATGACCCCACGACAGTTCTTGCCGGTAGCCATGAGTTTACGTGTTCCGATTTATCAATCACAGCGCACCTTCGAGGTAAACTTCCTTCCCTCCTCCTAGGTAATGCGATTGGTACGAGAGTCTGTGATCTTGGTGCAAGAACAGTTCTTCTTAAACAGCAAACTTTTCCCAGGGTTCCACCCTTCATCGGAATTTCCTCAGTTCCACATAGTAAAACTCCAGATTTTAAGTCGATGTTACACTGGTGCCCTTGCAGGAAGTCAAGTCCCAGGATGCAGTCATCCAGAATTTTGGCCACAATAACCTCATGTCGATAAACACGTTCCCCAATTTTGATTGTTACATGCAGTTTTCCACTTATCGGTATGCACTGGCCGGTAGCTGATTTCATTTGTAGGCCAACAATTGGTTTAAGGTGTTTCCTGATGTTTTGCTCGAGCAGCCGAACATTTATCACCGTCCTTGAAGCTCCAGTATCTAATGTTAGCTGACTGTTTTTCCCATTTACTTGACCGTCTATCACCAGAGTATTTCCATCGTTGGTTTGCTTGATGTAGATTGTTGGGGTTGTTCCACTACCAGCCAGCGCCCACCCCGCAGCCCTGGCTGGATTTAAGTTTCCCTGCTGGTCAGAAGTTGAGACCGCCGCGTCTTGGCGGTTCATCTTCTTCGGGCAGTCGCTCCGTATGTGCCCACGCTCTCCACATCCATAGCACATGAAGTTCCGACGGCGTGGAGGTACCTGCTCCGTTGTCGTCATTTCCCGCAGACGTAAGGTACGGGAGTTACCACGCACGGCTTCCACTTCCAATGCATGGGCCAGAGCTTCTTTCATGTTCTTGTGATGGCCCAGATGAACAGCGGCTCGTACTTCGGGGTCCCGAATACCGTCAATGAACGCTTGGAGAAGCGTGCCTTCAATCATTGACGGAGTCGACCGGAAAGCTCGACGCACAAGTTTCTCGATTTCCACGGACCATTGCTGTAGGCCCTCATTAGCACGCTGAGTACGCTCTTTTAATTGCGCTCTGTACACGTGCTCGAGGTGGCTGTCTCCAAAACGTGCCTCAAGTGCGTCGAGGAGGGCACTAAAGCTGAGATCCCCACTTGCGCCGATAGCTTCCAGCACTGAGAGCGCTTGATCACGGAGGGCCAGGGTAAGGGCTGACTGTGCTTCCTTCTGAGTCCAACCATAAGCCTCCATAAGTGTCTCAAACTGTAGCTTGAACGCGGTCCAGGATGTTGTTCCGTCGTAATGGGGAATCTTAAGCCCTTTCGTTGCACTTGAAGCCGCATTTGGGGCTTCAAAAACGGCTGCAAGACGGCTTCGGCTCTTCAAAGGGCTTGGGCTTGTCACTTCCTGCTTGATTTTGGAGATCTCTTCTTCCACTCTCTCCTCTATCGCCTTGACGCGATGTTCCAACTTGCCTAACCCTTCCTCCACTTCTTGTACCCGTTCGACAGCCTTTTGCAGTCCCTTCGTGAAATCCTTATGCATGTCTTCCAAGCGACGCGCTTGCTTCTCTTGGCGGCGAGCTTGATCCTCTTTCAGCTCCCGTAGCTGCTCCGCCTGACAGCGTGCATGCTCCTCTTGGCGACGAGCTTGATCTTCTTTCAGCTCCCGTAGCTGTTCTTCTTGGCGGCGCGCTCGCTCTACCATCATTTGCTGCAGCTGTAGCAGTAGATCCACCTGCACAGGCTTGGCTTCTGCATCGCTGGTTTGAGCTGCAGCACTCTCTTCCCTCACACGCTGCGCTTCTGCCATTGCACGGGTACTCACTCCTCTTACGTCCTGCGGCACTAGCGGCATTTTTCTCCAATCCCACTTCTGACACCAAATGTTACGTGCCTGACGTCACGTTCCTGACTATGCGGGCTTGGGTTACGGGATTGGATGAAATGAAACACTAATACCAGATTTCAGACTTTCTATTGCACTTAAGTTACAGCGTCCACGGAGTTAAGTTATCGGCGTTCCTCTCCAGCAGAGTCCGGCTGACTGACACAACTTTGCCGTTCACGCTGACTTAACTCACTTAACCGACTGCACTTCACTATTTCACTGCACTTCACTATTTCACTCACTTTTCTTCTTTTTCACTTCTTCCTTTTCTTCCGAATCGCTTTAGACTTAGAACTCAACTGCCAGCGGTGAGCCGCAGTTCCGCTTATATACCCCCGGTTCAGGTTCTGGAACATTCAATTTCGTTATTCTTTTTGATCGTCATGACTCCAGAACCTTCCAATAATTTCGTTACTCATTTTTATTTATTCTCCTAAATGTTACGTGCCTGACGTCACGTTCCTGACTATGCGGGCTTGGGTTACGGGATTGGATGAAATGAAACACTAATACCAGATTTCAGACTTTCTATTGCACTTAAGTTACAGCGTCCACGGAGTTAAGTTATCGGCGTTCCTCTCCAGCAGAGTCCGGCTGACTGACACAACTTTGCCGTTCACGCTGACTTAACTCACTTAACCGACTGCACTTCACTATTTCACTGCACTTCACTATTTCACTCACTTTTCTTCTTTTTCACTTCTTCCTTTTCTTCCGAATCGCTTTAGACTTAGAACTCAACTGCCAGCGGTGAGCCGCAGTTCCGCTTATATACCCCCGGTTCAGGTTCTGGAACATTCAATTTCGTTATTCTTTTTGATCGTCATGACTCCAGAACCTTCCAATAATTTCGTTACTCATTTTTATTTATTCTCCTTCTCGCTCTTTAATTTTTCATTTCTTTCACACAAATAATTCCAGAAAGTTCCACAAAACTTCTATCAACTAAAAAACTACATGTTTACGGCGGGACTCGAACTCGGGGTCTCTGTGGTGTAATCCACACGCCTTACCGATTACACCAACTAGTGTTGACAATTCACGACGAAATTTACAATCTCTAGGCAACGTTTGACAACCATCCATTGACGTCATGATGTCAAAGAGTTTGAACCACTTTTCCGTCACAATAAGTATTAGTATGGAGAATACCATCAATAGTGGACTAATTTTGTATTAGCAGTGCGATCACCCGTGCGAAGTTGGGGAGTGTCGCTAATTATGAATAGCACTAAAATAATTTAGACTTCTTTCGTGTTACATAAAATATGCCTGGAAGGATAGATATATTAAAGCAAGCTAATACTCAGTTACGACGCTGTGCTGGCCTGAAGGCACCTGCTCTCATGCATGAGGGTGCGGGTTCGAAACCTGGCAATTAGGTACCTATCAATGTAACTTTCCTAGTTATATGTACTTTCTATGATTATTTGGAGAACACTTAAATACGGTGCAAGAAATCAACGTGACGAACCCTGGATTTAATTACCCGACTACGGCAAAGCAAAAATAGGGTTATGATTTTGATTATAAGTTTGATCACCAATCTGCCTTGAGCAAGCGTGGTGTTTATGCTCAAACCTGTGAGTAGAGGCCTTTGCTCAGCAGTGGGCACTTATAGGTTGATGATATGTAAGTATTTTGCGAAAGTGATGTGTGATACTCAGTCGTGGCTCCTTATTATTTACCTTCATGGTCACGGCATCTGGCCAATTAATAGACTATTATTAGGACAGTCCGACGACTTGGCTGTAGGTTGTAGGCATAGATTTCATGCGTGTATTAGCTGTTATTCAAATTAGGCGATTCATATATCCCTTTTTAATCAATGTGCAAAAGTCTGATATTGACTTTTTATGCTATTAATATCCCTGATGAAGGTAGCGCTCATGGTATCGCCATGGACACTCATGGTATCCTTCCATTTCATTATAATTACTTACCCAATCATGTTAGAATGGATGTAAAAATTAATAAGGCTAATGTGAAAAAAAAACAATATTAGAGTACTTAGTTATAATTTTACACTATTCACATACTCGGATGTAACATAATTCTGTGACTTAAAACTATTTAACCCATAATTTAAATGACCTTAACTATTTGAATGATTACTTAAAACGTATTATTTTCTAAATGAAAAGAAAATCCTTTACACTTGAGTTATTTCAAATAAGAATTATATTTTTATAAAAGAGTAATTTATTTTTGGATTTGACACTGAAGTAAGAATATTTGAAGAAAATGACATCTCATTGATAAGTTTTTAGTTTTGAACTCGTATAGGGAATTGAAAGTGAAATTATTAATAGGAAACTAACCTTAACATTAGTTACTTAGTACGACAAAATCAAAGGCGTCAACAACACTCACTTGTAACTTTTAAATACTTGTGAAAGTTATGAGATGCTCAGCTTATGTACGAACATTATAGTTTATTTATTAAATAAAGTAAATAGTCGCTTGTACAGTGTTAGAGCAATTCCGGTAAACACAAACTACGTGGCAGGTATTAACAACTAGAAAACAACACAATGTGGAATACTTTGCTACAAGTACCATTAAACATTAAGGTGTCACATCAATAAAAGCATTAATCCATCAACATTAAATCCAATATGTACACACATCATTTATTCCAACATCAACCACTAACCGAATTAATGAGATATAATAATTAAACGTTTTCTCAAACCCTTTTCACCACGACGTATTTACACATTCATAATTCAACCCATAGTAATATTTATCAACTAACAAATCTAAACACGTTCGAATAACAATTTTAGACTATTCGCGACATTCGCATACCACACAATTATTTGTACTATGTGGTGAAAGTGCATTATAGCGAGTGCATCTTATGCACTCCACCTGTTCACGTTGCTTCAGTAAACCATTGCCAATGAAACACGGCAAACAGGCGATATAATTTCGGTCTATTCTTCAAAAACAACTATCAGCGGCCATAACTATTCCAATACCATGTGATGTCTGTGCACCAATCAATGTTAGTGAAAACTCATTCTAAGGGTCAGCACTCTAATATTGTATATAATTATAGTACATTTGTTTATACTCAAAATATATAATCGATTTCAATATTATAAAAGGCACTTTATTTTAACCAAAAGAAATAAATTTACCATTAGGTAGGTACACTTATAAATATGAAAATAAAATAATTTTATTGGTATGGTCTTTAACCAAGGAAAGGATAAAAGATATAATAACATTCTTTTTTTCAGATGTTCCATTATAAATGGAATGAAAAATACTTAGTGTAATCTATAAAACATAACTGGTCGGGCATCAGATATTTATTTCGAAAATATCTGTTACTGCTTTACTTACTAACATTTTTTAAGCTTTAGGTACGTGATCCATCGCCCCCGGCATACTGTGTACAAGATGTTTTTAAATAAAGCGGTAAATGCAAACTTTGGCTGTAAAAGAAAATTATGCTAAACCTTTAGTCATAAACTCATAAAATCTTAAACAAGGACATAAACAATTTCATCTATAACATAACATAATATTCTATAACTATTAACCTATCAACACCAAGGATCTAATCTGCTCAGAAATTAAATCAACCCATACAAAATCTTCCTGCACTCACTCTTGCTTGCCTACCTTCGCACTAATAGCAGTCTTTGCACAATACCTAATCCCTATACAAATACATTTGTTGGGCAAACACTTATTAATAATTTACAGTAATTTTGATGTCAGTCAGACAATTTGTCATTTATGTATAGCCATTATACATTATGAATAACCCTTAAATGAATACCTGGATATGCAAATAACTTTTAAATAAATATGTTTTCAATATAGATATAGTTTTCGTAATTCAAGAAAACGTTATTCGTTGCAAGGAACTGTGTGGTCTGGTCATCCAAAACATTGACCTGTAACTGTCCTTTGACTATTTGGAAAATGTAAATATATTTTTTGTTTGTTATAAAAATTAGGCGTTGTATGTTGCACGTAAGATTTCCTGTCCTTCTGCCGAAGTCCAATACTCCACTAGTAAATCTCGCTCCTTCTCCAAATATCCCAGGAATGTAGACTCCGATCCGCCTTTCTTCATGCTCAGTATTCGTTTTTTTAGCCAGATATTCTGGAAAATAGAAACGATTCATGTTACTTTGAACAGAATAACACAGGTATTACACCTGCCATAGGTCTAATTGATTTCTTACATTCATAGCCACAAACATAGCAGTTCTAGCTGTAAAGCTAAAATTGATGACTAGTTGATGAGTGACCAAATAACGAGGTCGTACAAGTAAATCCTGTCAAATGAAAGAGGTGAAATCATTGTACGCAAACAGATCCAGTTAGAGTTAATATCTCATTGCAAGGTTATCTTATCGTTTTAGGTTGCGACCTATTAAAGCGTTAGTTAAGAGAGTTAAGTATGTATTACAGTGGTAATTACTATGTGGTTCAACATACTATTGCTATTTGTGCTATTTACTTTCGTCGCGTCGAGCGATGACAACGACGAGCCCGTTTTATATTACTATGGTCTTGTAAGTACCCAAATTAAAATCACAAATAATATTGAGTAATTAAAATTCCGTTGAAAAGACTAGTATTATTGTTTAGGGCAGCCAGTATATTATAAATTTTATAATTATGCAGTCAAGTTACTAAAATATTGTTGTACTTGAATACTTATTTTTACGTTCTCATTTTAAACTGAGTTATAGGAGGAGAGTGAGCGCAGCCTGCCACCTTGCAATGACCGCCAGGCATGTTCGGCGCTGATACTGCGTTACTGGCGCGCACCCGCCCTGGTGAGGTTGTGTCGCTGTGCGCGACGCATGCGCTGTGACACTCGCGCGCACAACGACACTATTATTGAACTCAACAATCGGGCGTATTTACAGGTGCGTAAGACTAATTCTAGACTAAGGTATATCAGTCAATGCATTGTTTTACATTTTCCTAAAGACATATCTGACAAAAATATTACTTATTTCAGTTTTGTAAACCTGTAACTGATTGGCCGGAATGTAACATAAGGGAAAACGCCTTAAACGTAGTTACAACATACCAACGTATGAATCCTGATGAACTGGAGGAAATGCATCACGCGAATATGCAGCTCACACCACCAAACATTACATTTAGCTGTCGGTGTCGTAACCCTAGCTACTGGAAGCTATCTTCTACAGAGGATAATAACCGTAAATACCGTTGCGCGTCACTCCCACTATGTAAAACTGGAGAGTTTTGCGGAAATGTGAACTACGACCTAAATGCGCTCTACCAGTCGTGTTTGTGCCCTAGACATCACATATGTGTGCACAATGGCGGTGTAACACACATGCACATCTCCGAGCTGCTGTACGAAGGGAGAGGATGGAAAGCTTACTGCCAAAGAATAGAAAGCGACGACAGTTACGAAGATTATTAACTTACTCGAGCGGGTTGTGCAGCGATGTCTTTAACGATCGTTTGGACTTGTTCATTGAAGTTCTCGGGCCATAGAGTACGGCTTACCAATCCACCTTGCAACACTTCCGATGCTGTCAAACGACGTCCGAAAACAATCAAATCGTTCAGCTGCAACAAGTATTTAGTAGTTTTACAATAAATAATCAAACAAATTTATTAATCTTTTATATTAATATAAATTAAAGTCTGATAAAATTATAACAATGTCATATTTCAAATGAAATGATATTTACCAATGGTTGAGGCAGCAGTCTGTATGTTGTAAATGCCGCAGCACCTGGCTCTATCGGAGCAACACCCCCATGTGACTTAGGGCTGATGGCAAAACTTGCTCGTTCAGAAGCTAACGCCACATCGCTTAGACCAATCAATGCCAGGCCAACACCTGAACATCTACCATTCACCCCAGAACATAATAGCTTGCTATGTTGTTCCACTGTTTGTAATAGAGATCTGTAAAAATTTAAGAATACTTCATTAAACAAATATGATAAAAAATTACAAATGTTACAAGCTATTACCACAAACCATAACTTATTAACTAGATGTAGCGTTGCCAGGCGTCCGGATAAAGCCGGACATAGGTAGGATTTTTGATTGCTAGTCCGGCCAAAATAATCGGTGTCCGGCCTGTCCGGCTTTTGTTAGGCTTTTTACCTAAACTTTTCATAATCGTAAACGAGTAAAACGAAAGCCGAACATGGCTGGAGCGAAGCAAAAACTTAAGACTTATCTATTAATTATTTCATAAGAATTCAACAAGATTTATGACAATAATCAAAAATGCTTGATTTATATTAAATCTTGTCGTTGATTTATATTAAACCTAAGAATACTGAGATACAAAATCCTTAAGAATGTAGGGTGTCCGGCCTTTTTAGCCAAATGTCCGGCTAAACAGGCTGATCTGTCCGGCTATAAGGTCTAGCGACCTGGCAACCCTAACTAGATGGCTATGGCTAGTAAAGATTGTCACTATGGTATCATGCAACTAGAATAGTCTTGAGATCCCAGAACAATTCTTCTTAGATAACTCTAGTCTATTTGCAACTAGCTCTTACCCGCGGCGTCGCTCCCGTCATTTGAGTTACCCTACTATACCTACCCTACTCTACCTAACCTACACTACCTACTCTAGCCTATCCTATGTCCTACTCCTGGCTCTAAATTACCTCTTAATTATTAGTGGAGTAACTAACACGACTTTCTTTTATACATATAGATGAAAACAATAACTCACCTTACAGATTCAGCTATCTCATTGGCAAAGTTTGCTGATTTCTCAATACTCTCATCCAGCAATGATCTTAAGTCTAAATCAGAGTATGCAGTTGCACACTCAGACGACAAGAGTGTCACTGATATGTCTCTTCTAGCTCCAACCACTTGTAGTGCTTTTTCTAATTCTTTTAACATCTGTCAATCAAAAATTAATTTTTATGATCTCTCATTGGATGGAATTAAAAAAGGAAGTTGCTTATACAAAATTAAAACATTCAAAATATTATTTGTTATTCAAGTATTGAATTGGTTTCTGTCTATTATGTACTTATCATGGTATGTGAAGATGAATAATTAGAAAAAAAAAACATACAACTCACCTCAATATTACATCTGGACCCTACTTTCTGAATACGGATCTCGGCTAATTTTTGATCAAAGCTAATGGACAAGTATTTGAAATCTTCACTATTTACAATGGGTCTTTCATCAGACTTCATAACTTTTTTAATTTTTGATGGTTTATCAATTTTTGTTATTTCACGCTTTCTTTTATTTAAGGCAAGATTTAATTTAGAATTAAGTTTCTCTTTTATAGATAAGCAATCATCCTTATTTATTGCATCTGGTCTGATTGTGTCTGTAATATCTGACATGAATACATCAGCCAGAGGCTGACTATTAGTGCTCTCACCAGCAGATTGATTCTGGACTTCAGCCTTTATGTTTTGTGGAGGATTACGAGAGCCAGATTCTACATCGCTTAACCGTCGTGGACTCATGCATGAACTAGAATAAGAACTTGAAGAGTGCCGTCTATAAATAATGGAATCATCTGCACTATGTGCCTCAAAGTCTTCAGAGACCGACGGTGACTTTACTGAACTACTTAAAGATGATCTCTGTTTACCACCTAAAATTTTTTTAGCTTCTCCTTCTTCATATTTCGACTCCTTTTTCCTTTCTCTGAATTTCATTTCTTTTGAATCAGGTGTTGAACTTTGTATTTTTTTAATAAATTCTGCTTTGGTTTTCATATTCTTTTTCCCCTTTGGTGCTTCAGGAGTGAGCTGATAAATCATATTTACAGCTCCTTCATCCATTAATAACTTATCAACTTCAGTCAATCGCTTATTTTGTTTACAGTTCTTAGGTGAAGGCTTTTTCCATTGTAATTTTGAAATAGGTGATTTAGATTTGGTCCTCTGAAAAGTTGGTTCAGTCTTTATTTTTTTTAATGGAGTCACATCTTTCTCTACACTTGGTTCTTTGCTTTTAGTGACAGATTTCGTTTTAGTAAAAGTATCTGGGTTATCAGGATCAAATATTACTTTTTTCTTTATAACTCTACCAAGTCTGCGTTGTGGGGCTCCCTCATCACTGCTTCTGTTTAAGACTTGTAATTTTCCATCACTAGATGAATCAATGGATGTCCGAGCTGATGCTTGATCATCTTCTTTAGTAGCTCCTTCTTGAGTTTTGACACTATCTTCAGCATTTTTTATCAAGTTTTCACTCTCTTGCAACTTGTTTGCCTTTTCCCCATCCATATCCTCATCATCCCATTCTTTAACAAGCACATTGACTATGTTTTCCTCTGTACCTTTCACAATTTCTCTTAAGTTTTCCTCTACACTAGCTTTCTGTTTATGTGGGGCTTCTTGTTTTACCACCTTCTCAATTTTATCACTTTTTCGATTTCTTGATAATCTTTCATTTTGGCCACGCTTTTTTGCATTTTTCAATCGATTAAGTTGTTGCAAAGCTATAGTTGTTTCAAGCATTTCAGTAGATGGTACATTTTTCAAATTTACTGACTCACTTTGGGCTTCGTTATTCCCTTCCAAGATATCCAATAGCTCCTCTTTATTGAACACTTCCTGTCTAACAGAACTATTGTTATTTTCTACACTATCACTTACATCTGATGAGCGTAAAGCTTCACTAAGCTCAATGCTTTGCCCAAGTTCACTGAGTAAATTGTTGGAGTGCTGATCGTCAACAACCAATTCTTCAGTAACTGTTTCAGTCAAATCATTATCATTTGTCTCAATTAATATCTCAGTCTGAAAAGTGACTCTATCTGAGCATACCTGTACATTATTGTCAACTTCCAAAACAGTTTCTTCTTCAGAAGCAACTGTTACAACTTCCTTGATAACGGCTGGTTCAAGTATAGTGGAAGAGGAATCATCAATGGCTGTCCGACTATCCTCCACATTTGTGTCAGTGGGGTCATTAATTTTTGGCACAGCAGCTTCTGATGCTTGTTTGTCAATATCCTGCGTTTTATCCTTCACATCTACAGATGTTTCAGCACTTTCAGGCTCACATTTGCTTTCCTCTCTTGGAACCGAATTACTTTCTAATGGAGCAACTTCAGCAGACTCGGATTCTGCGACGCCGTTTGATTTGTGACATACATCAGTAGCTACCGAAGCCACAGCGTTTTCGTTGTGTTCATCAAACATTACTGTTACTTTCATATTATCTACGGTTGAATTTTGAAGCGGAGGTTCTTCAACTGCTTCCATTTTGTCAATAATGTCACTAAAATAAAATAATAATCATGTATTATCGCTTATTAAAGGGATAACCTAAGTTTTGTTGACGAATGCAAAGTTCAAAGTTATGGTCTCCGTATTCCAATGGATAGAAAAAGAACTATTATTTTAAAGTTTCAAACATTATTTCGTATCGGCACTAAGAATTACCTAGTTCCACTAATTATTAAACAATCAAGGCAAAGTTTGCTTTGCGTTGCGTCTGTACGTCCATATTACATTACGCGCACTAGAGATGTACCTACCAATTCCAATGCATCATTAAATTATTCGACTAAAAATGTATGTTTCAAAACCAAAAATATAGCAATAATTCTAATAAAATTTCTGCTGTGCAAAAAGTATAAGAATAATAATGTTACAGATATAAAGAAATTAGTTGATAGGTTTTTTATTTGAGCGCATTGATTATTGTCGTCTTGCTTTAAATCAATTCTATAAGAAAAATATTGTTAATGCAATGCAAAGATGAAATGGGTATGAGCATTTCTCTGCTGGTAATGTAGTATTATAGGTACATATTATTTTATATTTCATAAGGTGGCATCAGTTCAGCTCATAGACCTATAAAGACCACAGAACATACAGCTTCAAATTAATGATTGGGATTAGGTATGTTTTGTAAATTTATAAAATCGCGTTTACGTCAACTCTATATTATAGATACTTGAAATATAGGAATTAATACACAGTGGTTATTATGTGTAAACATTAGGTAAACCTGCATAAACTTACTAAAATTTAAAAATATTTGCTTTCGGTTAGTAGCTGACCAAGCCTTTCGAAGTGTGACAGCCATGAGCCAAAGGACTGGAATTTTGTTAAAATGTGAACAAGATTGAAAAAGAGTGTTAAAAGTAGTCTTCCAATGTATGAAGTAATCAAGCGACTAAGTAGTTTTTTTTTTTTTTTTTTTTTCTCCTTAATGGCAACTGAGTCTCCAATGTTGTCGACTATTCTGCCAGTGTCGAGTTGTGACGGGTGACGGCAGTTTTAAGACCCGTCGAACATTGACTTTGCGGTAGTTTATTGTTAGTAGCTAGAAAGACAACACACTTGGGTTAGTAAACATTTAACATAGATAAATATACAATTAATTTATACGAATTTTAATTAAACATAGACAGTCATAGGGAGAGGGTATACAATAGACAAGGAGATAGGTATATACATTATAATTTATATCACACACCATCATATTTTGATATTATTTTGGGAGACAAATTGGGAAAGGTATTTTATCAACTTATTTGAAAAAAAGGTTAGTAGGGAGTGGAAATTAATTGGGAGAGGGATTTGGAGGCTGGGAAGCTTTTGATACAGGTCGAAGGACTGAGAATTTAGGGAACAGGAAAAGAATATGTGATCTAAGGTCCCCTCATCAAGACCGCATTCGCACAGCGAGCTGTCACGAACACGGATCTTGTTGAGGAATACCGGACTACAGCAGTGTCCGAGTCTAAGTCTGCATAAGGACGCAACAGTTTGTCGGGAAAACCTAGGGTATCTGCAAAACCAAGGCTTCCGCCGGATGCCGGACTGGATATTTGCGTAATAGGTACCCTTCCGTTTGGAGGACTCTGCCCACACTGCATCCCACTCGCTGAACAACTTGTGTTTGGTGTCAGAACGTAAGTCATATCCATACACAATGTAGTGACGTCGCTCGACATCGTTTGTAGCTGCAAACTTTGCCAATGTATCCGCGCACTCGTTACCGCATATACCAGCGTGGCCAGGAACCCAGGCGATCTCAACGTTTAATCCATCTATGTGGCAAGAAAAAAGCAAAGATTTTATTTCTATAACTAAACTATTATTTGTTCGAGAATGGAGTTGGTCTTGGCTCAGAGACTGTAAGCTGCTTCGAGAATCTGAGAAAATTACAGAATTGTTAAGGTTGTGAGCTTTAATAAATTGTATCGCTTCTAAGATGCCAACACATTCCCCAGTGAACACAGAGGCCTGGGGAGGACATTTAGAGAGCAGCGCGATTCTTGAATTTTGGTAATACGCCGCCACTCCCGTGCATCCGTTTCGGGACAATTTGGAAGCATCCGTAAAGAATACATTCCAGCCCCTCCAATATTTGTCCAACGCATGTTTAAATTCCACCTTTGCGTTCACCGAGGACTTTGAGATGTCAAGATCCAAGACAAGCTTTGGCCTGAAGTGAATCACTTCATATGCAGAAGAGAAGACAGGGAGTACAGGGAATTGACTGATAGGTGCAGGGAGGTTTTTAAGCTCCCTATACCGAACAATCACAGGAGGGGTGGGTTTATGATTCCAGTATGAAGAGGAACTGTAGGAACTGTTAATTTGTTCTAAAATAGGGAGTAGGGGGTGAGCGGAAAAGGAAAGGACTTTTGAGACGAAACGGTCTGCCAGGTATTGTCTACGTAGGTCGAGGGGGGGTTCCACACACTCGACCTGAAGAGCGTTTATGGGGGAGGACTTCATAGCTCCAATAATTATTCTAAGGCATTTGGCCTGAATGGAATCTAGTTTTTTCAGTGCTTCCTTATTGCAGGGGGCAATAAGGTAGCAGCAATAGTCCATTACACTTCTGACCAATGCATTGTATATTAGCAGCAATGTGTACGGGTGAGCACCCCACCACACCCCAGTCAGAGCTCTAAGTATAGAAACCGAGCGTTCGCATTTTCCAACCACAGCGTTCACGTGATCCATGCCAGACATTCTCGAGTCGAGGATAACTCCCAAAAATCTAGCGCAACTCTTGATTGGAATAGCTTGATCATCAATTTCTATACGAATATCCGGTGTGTGACGCCTGCGTGTAAAAATGACAGCTGCGCTTTTTGGGGCGCTTAAAGACAACCCACGATCCAGTAGCCATTGGTTTAATGAGGCCAAAGAGACATTCATGGAAAGGGCGGCGTCCGTTATAGAACTGCCGGTGATCATTAGGGCGATATCGTCGGCGTATTGGAGGGCATTACAATCATAATTTAGACAGGAGGGGAGATCATGGGTGTAAATATTATAGAGGATGGGACTAAGGACTGAACCCTGAGGTAAACCTCTCCAGGCGATTCTCCGGACAGGTTCATCTTCAGGAGTTCTTAATTGGAGGGGGCGGTTGGAGAGGATGCAGCCTATAATTCGGCAAATCCTACTCGGGATTCTCAGCTCTTGCAGTTTCTGCCTGAGAAGGGGTAAGAGTACAGAATCATAAGCTGAAGAAATGTCTAGGAAGACCGCGACCAACGACTCCCCCCGGCTAAAGGCTAGTCGGATGGCTGAAGTGAGGGTACCCACACTATCAGCCGTACCCAGACCCTTCCTGAAGCCGAATTGAGCCGCCGGAAGCAGCCTCCTGCTTTCTACCAGCCATTCAAGGCGGTTTTTAACAAGGTGCTCAAGGACTTTTATAAGGATAGATGATAGGGCAATAGGTCTGTAGGATAAATGATCACCGGAGTCTTTGCCAGGTTTTAACAGAGGCATGACAACCTGAACCTTCCAAGCAGGAGGAATATAACCGGAAGAAAAACAAAAATTTGCCAAGTCAAGGTAGTATTGTCTAGTTTTAATTCCTGCTTTACTTAAAAATGAGTAAGGGAACCCATCGACCCCAGGTGCTGAGTCCTTCACGTGACTAAGAACCGATTGGAGTTCCTCAATTGAGAACTCCATATCAAGTGGGTCCTGTGTTTCCTCATAGGGACTCGGGCAGCATTCTTCTTTTTCAGGAACATATGATGGAGCAATGTTATTAAAAAATTTATTTTTTAAAAACTCAGGTAAGGTAGTAATTGTTGGAGGTTTAGTGGAGTTCCTGAAGTTCTTCACTCTCTGCCACACCATGGATCTTGGTGTGGATGGGCACAGTGAGCTACAGAACTTTTTCCACCCCTCCCTCTTCTTCCTTTTGAACAATTTCCTTGACTTAGCCAATATCTGTTTGAAGTTGAGGAGGTTCTCCAGGTTCATTTCATGGTTGTATATCTTTTCAGCTTCATTCCTGGCCCTGATCATAGCAGTGCACTCACTATCCCACCATGGAGGGGAAGGGATTTTTCTTTTTGGTGGGTTCTTCACCGGGAAGCAGTCTTCTGCTGTGGAGGTTATCAGGTCTGAAAACTTTTGGAAACACTCCAAAGCATTCTCAGCACTAACTGATGGAAGGAAAGAAATGCGGTGGTCCACTAACCTTGAATAAAGGTTCCAGTCCGCGGAGTCCAAGCGATATTTTAAAAGGGGAGGGAGGGTATTATCAGGAATGGATTTCGCTGGGTTTTTGATTATGATGGGATAGTGATCGCTACCATAGGTCATATCCAAACGACACCAATTCAGCAAGCTAGCCATCCCAGACGAACAGAAGGTCAAGTCCACACAACTGCTTCTTTGACCAAGTGTAGGCCTGCGGGTAGGGCTACCATCATTAATGACACACAAGTTGAGTTCATCCAGCATTTCCACTAATTCTGTACCTATGTTGTCACATGTTTCTGAACCCCATCTCTAGTGATGACAGTTGAAGTCGCCCATTACTAGAAGCGGGCCACCCACAGAAGTTAATAAATTTTTTATTAAAATAATATGTTCAATATGTGGATGGGCAATACAAAACATAAAAATATTTATATCCTCAGCCTTAATAGCGACAACATTTATGTCATCGCCAACAAAGGGTAGAGGGATCTGGGTGAAGGGTACTTTGTTATTAACTAACAAAGCACAACCTCCATAACCATCAGATCTGTCATGTCTGGCTACGCTGAAACATGGTATCCCGAAATTAATGTTCGGTTGTAACCATGTCTCAGCAATGCCACAAATTGTTGGATTAAATTTGTTTATTAAATGGAGTAAGTCACTCTTCCTGGGAAGAGTACTCCTCACATTCCACTGAAGAATGGTTAGGGGTAGGAATTTTATAAATATAATCTAAGATTGTGGCTATTCTATGTGCTACGTGGTCCGGTAAAACTTGGGCAGGGTTTGATAACGCTGCTATCAACATGTTAGAAATTACATTTAGTATATTGTTAGAGCTATGAGTGTTGGTTCCGGATTCCATAGGGAAGGCGCAACCGTTTTTGGATGGGGAAAAGGAGTAGTTATGAGTAAGGGCCTGATGGGCCTTCTTGTCATAACTCGGTGAGAGAGGAGCATGGGATTTTGGTTTAAGGAGCACTGTTTTTTTATAAGATGCTCTTGGTTGGGAAGATGATTTTTTACCAGGTGATGATACAGATTGGTTAATTGGTTTAGAAACCTCGGCATAGGACCTTTTGACAGCAGGGAACACTTGACTTGCTTCTGCATATGATATTGATTTCTCCGCCATCAAAGACTTGATGCTTTTCTGGCGGCCTAGCTCCGGGCAGGCATTGTAGTTTGCGAAATGATTGCCATTGCAATTAACACAATGAGCAAATTCATTTGGTGTTTTGCAACCGTCACCAGGGTGATCCTGGCCACACTTAAAGCAGCGCGGTTTCGAGCGGCAGAGTGTGCGGGTATGTCCGAACCGACAACAGTTGTAGCACTGTATTGTTGGATATGAATACAGTTCCACCGGAAGAGATGAATAAAAACAAAACACTTTTTTAGGAAGTACTTGTCCATCGAAGGTGAGGACTACAGTCTGGGTAGGCCTCCATTCTGTTCCGTCTAAAGAAGTAACCTTCCTATTCATCCTCCTTGCCTTAATTACAATCCCACATCCAGCGGGAACCCTAATATTACAGATAATCTCTTCCTCGGTCCATTCAACAGGGATGTCCCTCACAATGCCCATTCTCGTTATATTAAATTGTGGGATTGAGGTATTGTAGCTTTGCGCAACCACACAATTCACTAAAAAACTGTTAGCGTCCTGATGCGACACAAACTCAACCGACACTCTGTTTCTGCCCAGCCTTTTAACTCCGCCGATTTTTACATTTCTTACGTTGATTTTCGTAAGAAACATACCAAATTTAACGGGATGGAGTGTTGTACCCGATGTCTGGGAGTCCTTCAATGAAACATAAACTATGTATGGTGGGTTATCTGTCTCAGTGTAAACCTGCCTGCCATTTATGCTTTTTGCCAGTTTGGGAGGATTATTTTGGGAGATAGGGGGAGAACCTGCTGGTCTCTTCCTTTTACTCTGGTTTGTATCGGAATCCATGGGTTCAATTTCCGGGTCATCATGAGGGAGCGAAACGGTTAAAATTGGTTTTAGGTCTGGAGATTTATCAGGGGGATCAGGAGGTTTCTCCTCGTCCATGTTAAAAAGTTGAGGGATGTGAGGAGAGGAAATAAGTGGTAAAGTTTTATAATATTACCTTAGACAATACACACACACAATTTAAAAACAATCACCCAATTAAACGACACACAATGTACGGGATTTCAATTCAGATCACTATGAAAAAGATCACTAAAATTGATAACAATCGTCGTACTGAGAAAACACGTGCGTATCCTTCACCACTACCGACGAAAGTGGACTAAGTAGTTATTAACTTATTATTAAGATGTGACAGTACTAGAGACAATCATCATGGTGATTGTAGGTAGCTCAAGCCAGGATTTTTCCTGAGTAAAATATTTAGATGTCGTGGTGGCCCGGAGGTTAAGGCGCCCGCTTCTCATGCATGAGGGCGTGGGTTCGAAACCTGGCAAGTACCAATGTGACTTTTTCCAAGTTATATGTACTTTCTATGATTATTTAGACACCAGTGGCATGCGGTGAAGGTAAACATCGTGAGGAAACCTGGACTTATAATTTCTAATTATAAGTTTGAAGTCGCCAACCCGCACTGAGCAAGCGTGGTGATTAATGCTCAAACCTTCTCCGTTTGAGAAGAGGCCTTTGCTCAGCAGTGGGCACTTATAGGCTGATGATGTCATGTGAAAATATTTAGATGAGGGATTTCTTAAGACTTGAGTGATTGTACTAAGGGTGACAAAAATGCATGGAGAGCTTAAGGTCGACTATTGACTGACAGGTTTTGCATAACGCTACCATTGATAACTAGATGGCGCTGCTTTTAAATGAAAATAACCCTGCAAAGCTTGAATACTTTACACTGCAGAGGCACACAATAAGGTTTTTAATGGTTAAAATAATAATTAAGAAACAATAATATATTTATATTCAAATACACATAAATTATGTTAATTTTCTGATTTCCGAGGACTTAATAAAGCGCCATCTAAGTCAAGTCAAGCAAATCAATTAAAAGATGGCGTCAATAATTAATAATAGACAATAATAAAAGTTATAAACTAACCCACATTTTCGACATTATAAAAAATGCGACCGGTAGCTGGGATGAATAAGAATGATAGAATAGTTAAGTCGAACGGCACCGGTTCAATTCCGGGTGACCATTTTTATATTCAGGTATTTTAACAATGGTTTTTTTTATATAAAATCAATAATAATAACATATAAATAAAATATTTGACGTTTAATATTTATAAAAAATACCAAAAATAAATATATATATTATTTTAGAATAAAATTATATTAATAAATATATATAAATAACTTTTATAATATGTGCTAACTATTAATGTAAAAGTAACATATTTTTCTTACAGATTAAGACTAATACTAAGTTTAATTCTCATAAAGGATAACAAATAAAACTTTAGTGACATTATAATTTCAGACATTTATTTCTTAAAACATAATATTTATTTCCTTCTTATATAGTGTATACCCTAACCTAATAACTTTTCAGCTAACTGACACATTATTTAATACACTTTTTATGAGATTAATAAGTATTTTAAATCAAAATTGTGTTGTGCTAGTCATTTATTAGTTGGTTTTAAACACGATGTTATAATACGATTCTATATAATATGCAACCTTACTTCTGCAACTATTTTACCTCCCCATAAAATTTTATTAAAGTATTGACTAAAGTGATTCATTTTGTGCATCATGTTATGACAAAGGCTCATAGCTTAAGTATTCGTTCCAGAACAAGGAAGAAATTGAAGCTAGACCTTAAATCAATAACATTTCTAAGACCGGGATATAGCATTCATTAGATGTGGGACGAATTGTTTATAGTAATTAATAAATAAATAATTTATTATTTTGCAATCAATAGCATCTGTAGATATTAATATTGCTTTTATTTTTATTTCTCATATTTAGTAAAAGACTAAAATCATTACTGTAAATAACAGTTGCTGGTTATAAAGTAGTCAATAAAACCCTACTAACACTAAGTTTGAACATTTATCCATTAAATAAATTATAGCTACCCCGGTCTTGTAATTGCTTAATCCTATAGTCAACAATATCTTTTCTTCTAAGAATTTGTGTAGCCGCCATTTTTATCGATCCTATTTCTCCTATCTCGCTGGCCAAGGAATAATCCATATGTCTGATTGCTGACTAAACACTTGCACAATTATGGAACATAACACATAGGACAATTGTCTTGCACGAACGTTATCACTAGCACATCTTCATGACGTCATTCAGCACATCTATGTAGTTTTCACTGTTTGCATCACTGAAGATGACAATGCTCCAGTAATTTTCCTCATAACCTTGCTCCATAAGTTGAAGCTGGTCTGAGTCAATATCACGTTTTCTGCCATATCCACTACGGTGCTCCAATGAACCCTCTTCTTGAAACAGCTTTAGATATCCATAAAGTGGCAGTCTTTACCTGTAAGGGACGTGTATTATTTATTATTTTCATGTATCGATAACCATGGATAATAAAATAAATCACGAACGGTCATTTTAAAAGAATACTTACGTTTAAGCCAGTTTCTCTCGAAATTTCAGTATAATTTAAGCTTTGATTATGCAATGCTATTAATTGGGCCCTCGTAGTCATATCAATATTTGAACGCAAACTCATGATAAAAATAAATATTAGATAAAAACTTGTTAAACAAATTGTAACTGAACTCACTCAAAGATAGTAAAGAATGTTATGATTGAACAAAAAGGTTTAATTTTTATACAGTTAATATTAAATTACCCTCAACTGTTTTGAGATTTATGATCGGGTTATAGTTGCTAAACAACTTCAATATAATAAAGAGTAGGATAATTTCAATACCCTTCAAGGTTACATAATGGCCTAATGGCTAGTGGCATCGGTTAATTTTATGCTACCGAGTTCGAATCCTGGTTATTGCGTGCTTTGCTTTAAAAAGGTTTGGAATATCGTAGCATTATTATTGTGTAAAAAAATATTAAGTTAATAACTTTGTATCTGATAAAAACTATAAATGTATATTTTTCAATACCACTAGTATACTAGCGCCATCTATGTCATCCATTGTATATTATTAAGGCGATGAAACGCCGTACAAACGATTTTGATTTGGAATCCTCCATGCACTTATGACTCTTATAGTACACCATAATAGTTAAATTATACAGTCGTCTTTCAGAAGCAAGGCAATGATAGCGACATCTATATTAAGCTTTGAGTTTTTCTTATTATTCGACTAACGAAGTACTAGTTTGTGCAGAGTATAGTAAGAAAAGGGGAGTGAGTTTCTGATTATCTGTGGTTTGTACCAATTTGACATATTGATTCCTTGTGTTTTGCATTATTTTCTTCTGTATTTTTTTGTTTTGCTGAGGCTTTTTGCATGGTTGTACATTTGTGGTCCTGGTTATTTAACTATCAATTTCTAGTTTAAATTTTATTTATGGCTGTAGCATTAAGTACATTATCTAAATCAGAATGAATATCCTACCAAAGAAAAGGTAAACTATAAAACTTATTCTTAATAATTATAGAATTATTAAAATCTGTTGATTTTTGACACCAGATGAATTTATTACTTGAACATCTTAACATTAAATATCGTCTTCTACAGGTGGCATGTAAGAACAAAAGAAAATATAGCACGAGTTAGGAAAGATGAAGCCGAAGCTGCTGAAAAAGAGCGTCAGGAAAAATTGAGAGTTGAGCAAGCTGATCGCGAGGCACGCCTTAGTGTTTTAAAATACAAAAGCAAACAAAAGTTACAAGACTCTGGTATTGTCCAATCAACCACAGAGCCTATACAAGAAACAGTGAATGAACATATCAATTTATTCGCTAACCTTGATGATGCTGTGAAAACCACAAATAGGGAGCATGACAATGAGATAAAAGAAAAAAAGGAAGAATATGAGAAAAAGATTGGTTATTTAACATATCTTGGACAAGACACAAATGAGGCTCTTGGTAAAAAAAATTGGTATGAAGTTGCACCAGAAACATCTAGATTTTCTAGATCAAGTGATATTAAGGATACTTATGATAAGTTGGTTCTGAAAGACGTAGATGGTAAACCTAAAGTAAAAGAACCGGATGTGAAGGATGGAGAAGTAAATTATAAGAGAAAACAAGAACTAGACCCAATGAATGCATTCAAACATCTTCATAAGTGTGATAAAATTAAAAATGACTTGAGGCCATCTAAACAAAAATCTGAAATAGATAATTATAAACATAAAAAAAAGAAACACAAAAAGGATAAAATACAAGATAAAGAAATGAAATTGAAGAAGTTAAGAGAAGCTCGACTAAAAAGAGAACAGCAAGAAAAATACAGAACTGAGTTGTTTTTGAAAGGTCTTCATAATTCCAATGAAACTAAAGAAGTTGAGAAAGAAACAAGAGTAAAACCAAAATACAATTCACAGTTCAACCCTGAACTGGCAAGGCAAAATTATAAATAAATAAATCGATCCTGATGATGAACATGGTTGAATATATTTATTCTATAATTTTTGTTATAATAAGTTTGTAACATGATTTAAATAAACATTTCACTTATTAACTTATCTTATTTTTGAAGAGTATGAGATAGTAAAATTAGTGGAAGTTTGTCTTCCAGTTTATCAAAAGGGTAATTGAATGTCTCTGAGAACATTTGCAATATTCTCACAATTGCTGCAGCATCATTAGATGACTCTGTTTGTTTAGTTCTGGAATAGAAAAATTGGATTAATTAATTTATGATTATATTGAATTATAAATATGAATATCAATTCAAATAAGCATGGTAGTTAACAAATTAACTGTGAGATTAGGAGAAAAATGAAGATACTAACTTGACATAATTGCATAATGACTCAATAAATATGTCAATATTTTCACTCTTGCTTTGGCGTAACAGTGAGTAGATACCGACTAGCAATGGATAACCATCTATGTTGTCTCCAGTTCTTCTTGTTATAAGATCCCCTGGAATACACAAATAAATATTATAACTATTTATGTTTAAACATATAGAGTGCCTGTCCACTATCTTTAACAATAAGGATGATTACAGGGTTATAAAAATAAACAAGGTATTTAGTTAATGAGTTTTGAAGTAGAAAATGGGTTTGTACATAGTTTGGAAACCACACGGGGAATATGCATATAATGTAACTAAAAATGACTATAACTTAGAAATTACTACTTTCAAACGAAAATAGTCATCAAATAAAAGCTAGTGAAAGTGCAGCTGAAGCAGAAGAGCACAAAATTGCGCGTTATCGAAGTATGTTATGCTGGTGCACTGTGTTCAAATTTTCTAATCGAAAAACTGTTTTAACTTATGTGCTGGACCAAAATCACTCATGGTTTATGTAGGTGACTGGCAACACTTGATTGTACTCATGATAACAAAGAACTTTCAAAAAGAAACTTTTTGCTATACACATTACTTTAATTTTTATTGCTGTAAGTAACAAAATTATTGGCGCGCGTGCAATTTTAGAATGTGTGCCTGCGACCGCGTTGTAAAATAAAATCTGAGACTAATATTTTAGTTCTTTACGCAGGCCAGTTAGTAGTAGTTGTTTTTGTTTTAAGTAACAATCGCTGGACCAAAATTGTTAATGAAATTGGTTTTAAAGGCACATTATATGTGTGTGCTCCGCACTGTAGGTATAGGTATAATTCCAAATTAAGAAATGGTTACAGGATAATATTTTGTATATGTTCCGTAATTTGCAAAATCAGTAAATTGATATACCTACCTGTGGTATAGCATATCTGCATTCGGGGCAACTGCGAAATTAAAAGGGCGACAAGGATGCGCCCCATATCTGCGTTTATGAATTCCTGCGCATGTTTAACATAAATCTTATCATATGGTTCATAAATTCCACATCTCACTAAATACTCTTCTAGATTTTGCAAAAGTAGCGATGACACTTTTGATTGACTCTCAGAATGTGTTGATATCTTTAATTCGTTAATTAAGGATCTGAAAATAATAATAAAATAAATTCATACTTTTTTAAAATTTCTAACAAAATTAAATGTCTCAATTTACTTACTCATTCATAGTCCTCAGTGATGCTTCTAATTGAGCTGAATCAAACTTACAACTTGTATTTAACTGATACGCAATGTGCCTTCTGATAATTTGCAAAGTACCAATCAATACAAGTGCGTCAGATAGTTGCTGGAATGTTTTATATCCTTTAGCAATAAACTGTTCCAAATCTTTCATATTGTTAGTCATACTCCCCATTAGAAACTTGTCTTGACTGTTCCTGAATATATCTTGAACATTATGCATTTGGTTTTTCACCATAAATCCATACAACGTGTCCAAGCCGTGAAGACCAACCACTCCAATAGCTTCATTTAGTTTGCCGAATGTTTTGTTATTTATTATTTCATTTTGAGTTTTAACGTCATACCAGGCAGCACATATGTTAACGTATGAACATATCCTGAAAAAGAAAAATTGTGTAAAAAAAAAACCCAGTAAACTTATTTTTTTGTTAAAAGTATCATTGTTATTTTACCTTGCGTCAACCAATTGTGGTATTTGCCGAGCTAGACTGCCCATGAAACCAGCCGAGGGACTGTACAGTGTTACTCCTTTACGGAAGCTTATTTCTTTGGAAACACTTTCAGTAATGATTGCTGTTATCTAATAGAAAACAAATAAATTCCTTTAGATATCAACGTTTTATTAAATAGCATAAACAAGTTACGCAGTTATCTAAGTTCTCGCTCAGGGATATGTAGCAGGATATTTACTTATGCTATTAAGTAGGTACCTGTTTTTGCCAGATTCTTAAGCCATGTATATTTATGTAATCTTGAATGTATTCTAGAGATCGTCTATACCCATCCATGCTTTCAGCCAATTTTTGCAGTCGCAACATCAAATTACTTGCAGTAGGTTGATATTTCTTTCCCTGTGGTTCTAGGAATTCCACAAATTTTTTGCCAATATGTCTGTCTAACTCCTTTAATAACCCTTCTTCCAGCAATTCTGCTGGGTCTACTCTTATTACTCCCACTAATGTAGATCTCATATCTAATATTCCTGGAAAATTTCATAGAATTAGCTTAGTCTATACTAATATTATAAAGAGGTAAAATTTGTAAGTTTGTATGTAGGGGGTAATCTTTGGAACCGCTGGTCGGATTGCCATAATTCCTTGACTGATAGATAGCTACAATGTTCCTAAATGCTATAGGCTATAAAACATCACGCTACGATTAAATAAAGCCGAGCAGCGAGAGAAACCGCGCGAGGGTAGCTAGTATTAAATAAAAGTAATTTTGTATTTGTTTATATCATACAAACCTGTTGTAAATGTGGAAGCCGAATGAGTTAATTTCGCAACTTCCATCCTATCTTCTAACTGCGCGTAATCCCGCAATCTTTCCTTTTCTAATCTCGTAGGCACTTCTTTTATAGCCCACGTCTGTAAGTCAATTATTTTCTCCACAATATTAAAAACCATTTCTGGAATAATTTGGAGTACTTTTTGAATATATTTAATTAGTTCATTACTGAAATATTGTGAAACTGACACCAAATCGTCACTATGAGCCTGATTTATCCTGAGCAGTGGTATTTCCATGGCACTAGCTAACTTTAAGAAGAGCGCTCTTAGTCTGCTGGTGACAGCTGGATTTTCCTTAATGCTGTCTTGCATATGCTTTGTATACAAATCGATTGTGCACCAAGCATAGCTTACATCAGCCACTGTTTCCAAAGTAACCAAGGAATCTTCTTTTAAAGAAGCAGCTCTCAAAAGATTTTTCAATGCATCCTTGCTATCACACAAGTACTGAACAATTGTAGAAGTACTTTTTATCCCATGAAATTCTTCGACTTCATCTAGAGCCTGTAGCAATTGCGTTACTTTCTTGATTGACTTAGATGAACTAGGTTCACCTAAAGATGATACTTGTTTGGCAATGCTATCAAACCAAAGCTTCAGTTGTTCGTTTTCTTGTATTTTAGCGACAGGTTTAGCTCCTGAGAAAAGTTCCGACAAACTGTTCAATGCTTCTATAGCAAGATTCTTATTCATATTCCAAGTAGAATCTCTATTTTCAAGCAATCTATTTAATATCTCTCTGACTTTCAACTCCAACTCTGCAGTACTTATCAATAGTTCCAAAATTTTCAATGGATCATAATTAGACTCCTTCAGAACTAAATCTTTAAGCTGTTTGCTTTTTTTATTATTATCATAAAATGTTACATCAGTATTGTGCAAAAGAAGCCACCTTAACACTAAGTTGGAATTTAATAAAAGATTTAGAATTTTGCTTATATTGTCCAATACAAAGTCATCAGTAAGGGTTCCTTCTTTTAATAGTTGATGAGTTTTTGTAGTAAGCATTGGTACTGACCCACCTCTCTTAGCAAATACTTCTTTAATTATCTTGCTATTACAGGTGTTGCTGAGTGCAGATTTAGCTGCTTTAAAGTTTTCCCAGTAATCAATGATGTTCATTGTAACACCCATGTACACTGGGATTACCCAATTTGTTGGGAAAAATTTGTCTACAATTTCTCTCATTTTAGATGTATCGGTATGTAGATAGTAGGGTGTGAAAAACAGACAGATGACTAGCATGCTAGCTTGTGTGCCCAGTGCTGATGCTTGATGCTCTGGTATTGTGTAAACTGCAAGCTGATTGTAAATATCTTCTGATCTTAACTTTCCTACCACTTTTTCGACAAATTCAGGTCGAATGAACACACGGCTAAAAGACAGAAATTAAATAAATAAATTCACTTATGCTGTTCATTTCTAAAATTTTTTGCTAATATCAACTGATAAAATAATTAATTACCTAAAATATTCAACAGGATAATCAGCAGGTCTTCGTCCATTTTGCTGATCGTAGCCAGTGTCTCTTAGAAGTTTACACACATCATCAATGTTGGACTGTGATTGGCTGGTACTGTAGCGATAAAATGCTACCAACAATCTTTCCCTCATTGGACCCGGAATGTAAAGGTCACATAACAATAGCATAGCTCCATATAAATATAAACTTTCACACTGGAATGTAACAATATGGTATCAATGTTATAATGTATCAAACTTAAATTTTACCAGATGTTACAAAATACAATGTGTATAGATTTTGCTTTAACTCATATAGATTTTGTTACAATTTGCTCTAAAAACAGCTAAAAATACTTACCAAAAGCTGTTTTCCTTCCACATCTTTTAAAACAGTTTCAATATTTTGCTGGATGAATGTATTATCATGCAATTGCTCTACAAAAGAGTTCAGATCAACAATGTATTGGTAAATATTCTCAAAAAGTAAATAAAATCTGTTTATAATTTCCAAATATTTTTCTTTCAGCTCATCATCTAAGTCTTGCAATTTCTGGAAAAATAATGTTACTGCTGATTTAATTGTGCAATTTAAATTATAAATATTATGTAATTAATAACATATAATTCCAACATGTCTCTGGAATTTATTATATTATGTGGTTAAGTAGTATAGTAAAAATCACTTAACATTGTAATCTTCAAATAATAATGTTAGTTAATTTGTTCTCACTCTCCATAACTCACACTCTATACACACTCTAAATAAGTAAAATGGAAGTACACTTACAGGGTTAGCATTAATTTTCTTTTCTTGAGCATCGGAAACTTTGAAGTAACTAAAGTCCAAGATGACATCCTGATATTTTTGTTGCATTTCTTTATTATCAAGCCTGAAAATGATAATTAAAACTTTTACTGTAAAATAAATCTTTTTTATCTTCTCTGTTGTGCTAGACTAATGTGATAGACATTATATTAATATGTTTATAAATTCATCACAAAAGTTATGCACAGGCATTGAACAATTTTAAAGTTGTTATCAGATTACAAAATAACTTACATATAAGCACTGGGTTTATGATCCTTTAATCTTAAAATTTCGGCCACAATTGCATTTCCATGAGACACAAGTTTCAACAAGTTTTGAGCACAGAGATTGTCTTCAGACATAAACGCCTTCATGATTTAACAATTTTTAGGTCCAACAGAAACAGAAAATCACGGATACAACAACAAACTTTGATTGACAATTTGACACTTGACACTGATAGTTCGAATTAGGCAATTGTCGACAGTCGAATGCCATTTGACGGTAAACATAGTAATGTTGCAATTTTAGAAAAACGAACTCGCAAATACTCCTTGTTCTGAGAATAATTAGCGAAACGAGAAAATCAATACCGACTCAAAAAGATTATTAGATGATGCACGGCGATTATAACATCGTCTCAAACCTATTTGTCTCATATGTTATCTGACATAGTGATGTTAACAATTCAAAGTGCCAAACAAGCATTCTCATCATCCGTTTGATACAGTATATCTATGACTCTGAAGTCTGATATGAATGACCAATCACTATTAATCAGTCAGTCAGTAGCACAAAGAGTAAAGTAATATAGCGGGAGCAGTAGCACGATGTGTTTCGTAGATTGAGGTAGTCGTGTAACAAAATTATTACAAAATTATATTTATTCAAGGAAATATAACGGGGGCAGGGTCAAAGTGCGATGATTCTCGATTGATGTAAATTTTATTTGAAGTGGTTTGCTGTTTTTATTAAGTAAAAATGGCACCTTCGTTATTTAGTTATGAAACTCTTGTGCATGCAATAGCAGGAGCAACGGTACGTACTTTTCTGATAATGACCATTCATAAATCGTCTGTTTTATAAAAATATTATTTATGGCTTTCACAAAAACAATTGAACTTTAGTCCTTTTTATTGATTTATTACAGGGCAGTGTTGTTGGCATGGCCGTTTTCTACCCATTAGATACGTTACGATCGAGAATACAAGGTAATTTCTTTATTTATTACAGCATTAATTTCAACGCAAATTAAAAAAAAATACATTTCATAATTTTAATTTGTATACAACCCTTAACGTGTTGTTTGAAAATTTAATGCGTCTATTACCTCATATCTTCCCTGAAATCTTCAGCTTAGACTCTAATTATAATAAATCCGGTATAAGATACCTTCAACTTATCGTATTAAATAAATCCTCATTAGATACCAGAGCATGATCTCTGCTTATGTTAGTAGGTACCTACTCGTGATTAATAAATGCCTAATTAATAATTGTACAATTAGGTACAATTGGCCGAATTGCATAGTCAGTTTCATGAGATCGCATAGTAATTAGTAAACAAAAACAAAACAACAATACAAACCCAACATTGCACATCAGTCCTACCTACATACTACATGGTAACGACTGATGTAATGGTAAGCCATTGTATTTGCGTAATTGAGACTACTAATAACTGCAATATTGATATCATCACTTGTCCGCCAATACCTAGCTATAGTTACGTAGGTAGGTAGGTACTTGGGCTTGGGAATCGGTTCCCCAACTTTCGAGGCTCCGATTCTTAACTTGAGTACATACTCGAGTGCCCCTTTAATAGCTAATATTGTATTCAGGCAAGGAATTCGATTACAAAATTGTTATAAAAAAAACAATTTTTCGCTTTCACAGGATGTTGGATGATAAGCTAGATACCATGAGTGAGTGACCATGAGTTATTAATAAATTATATATTTTTTTCAGTTGAAGATTCTAAGAAACTACAAGGTTCCTCATTGGAGCTGCTATTCAAATTAGCGAGCGAAGAGGGGCTAGATTCCTTATATCGGGGATTGGCACCTGTCTTGCAGTCTCTATCAGTATCCAATTTTGTATACTTCTATACATTTCATGGCTTACGTAGAGTGTCAACGAAAGAAACTTCTGCCTTGAAAGACTTGATGTTCGGTTTAATCGCTGGTAGTATAAACGTACTTTTAACTTCCCCTTTGTGGGTTGTCAACACTAGAATGAAGTTACAAACTTCAACCTACAACAGCCTTACTGAAGGGCTAATAGATCTCTATAAAAAGGAAGGAGCTAAAGGTCTGTGGTCTGGTACAGTACCCTCTTTATTACTTGTCTCTAATCCAGCTATTCAGTTTATGGTTTACGAATCGTTAAAGAGGCAACTAATTGCTAGAGGCATGTTTGATACTTTCTCTGCATTTCTTGTCGGAGCTGTGGCAAAAGCAGTGGCCACAACTTTAACTTATCCATTACAATTGGTACAATCAAAACTTCGTGCTGGCACTAGTTTAAAACCCCTATTTAGAGATGTGAAATCGCAACCCTTATTAGCGTTCCGTGGGTTAGAGGCTAAATTATTGCAAACCATCATGACAGCCGCTCTTATGTTTATTATTTACGAAAAGATTGTCCGACTGGTGCTAACGATAATGAGAGTCAGAATGGCAAGACACTAAAACGTTAACTACTTACTACGAGTTTCGTAGAAGCGAGAAGTGACTACGTCACTATTTGCGTTTACTATATTGATACATAATACATAAAGCTACAGAAAACCTGTTTTGTAGGTGTATTGCAAAGTTACGAAAAGACAAGGTCGCATCTTGATCAAGATCATTGTTTATTATGGTATTACTAAACGCATCTAACAAGGTCAATGTTTTTTTAAAGGAGCAATAAATATGAGTATTTACCTGTTTGTATGTACCAAATAAATTAAAATACATAATAACTACTACTTAAAAGAATCTCATAATTATCGTTTCACAGCATTCAACAAATGATGATAATGATGTCTATTTAAATACTAATTTGAAGAAGAAACACGACAAAATTGATTGCTGTTTTATCATTTACAAGAAAGTTATATGGATAAATTATAAGTAGATATTATTTTAGTGTTAGACATGTGCCAAATGATGAAACTGTTCGTAAAAATAAACAACTCGAAGGTGTTATTTGACGGAAAAGGGTCACACTGATGATTGTCAAGAGGTACCTACCTACCCAAGACTTACAAATTTAAAAAACAAACAACCTTGAATGTCCTCGCATGGGTGTGTTAAGTCGAGGTTACTTCGACAAATTTACTGTTTTAATACTAAATACAGTATAAACCCAATATCAAAGTAAGAAATAAATAACGTATTTTTGACTTTGTAGACTGCGAAAAAAACTTATAGAGCTCTCTGAAACTACTTTTGATGTTACATTTTAAGCGAATATCGGCGGGTGGTTATTATTATGTACCTTGAACAGTAAAGTTTTGACTTAACCAAAGAAAATAACTTTTGTAATATGGATTGTATGTATGTAATGTTCTACACTGATCACGCAACACTGTACCTACTCATTTTACGCGAAGTAACAAATAGATTACTTTCGCATAAAATACTATGTATGCCTTCCACAATTGTCACCGTTCTTATTGTACAGTAATTTGTCCATCAATGTGCAGGCCTATCTTTGAAAATGTTCTTTGACGAATACACGTATTATGTGATAGTTTATTTATAAATAGGATGTACAGAAAGATTTCCAAGAAGTAAATTATTTTTTTGACTGTGTGAATAAGTCAAGGCAACATAAAGCTTTTATAGGTATTTTACTATTTGCTCATTAAGTTAAACATTGTTGCAAAAATAATGGCAGTGACGTATATATAGCATTGCGTCACACACCACCATGGCCCTAATGCTTATGTAAATGGCGTTCCGATAATTTATTACAAAAGGCATTTCGCGATACTTTGAAGAATAAATACGAAGTTTGTGACATTCTATGACATGTCTTCAAGCCTAGGTGTGTTGTTGTTAGTTACCCTATTTGTGATCAGTAAATATTATTCAATGGTGTAAGATATTTGTTAAGTTGCTTTTAAAGGAGGTGACGGATTACAATGGTTTTATTTATTTTTTATTAATAAAACAAGTCTGTTAAAAATAATGTGTTTTATTGAATACAGTATGAACATTACATGCTAATTAACGGCGTGCTCCAGTCGCGCCTGTTTCATATCATCGGAAATTCTAATAACAACTTTAGTATATTCTTTGACCAATCCATCTAACTCGTTGTAAACCTGTAACAAATAAAATACTTATTATCATAATACTTGTGAACAAAAACACATTTTAAAATATATGTATTTACTAGTCTAAGGCTAACAGTATACAACAATGATATTGTTAAGGCTAGAATGTTAAGGTTCAAAGTCAGTTAATAATGAGTAGGTCAATAGTCAATATTCATTGTAAATTTGTAAAATACGGCTAAAGGGATAAATGTTAAAATTGATACTTATATAAGTAGTTACTTTAATCGGTCCTCCCGATATCAGTGCAATGTGACTTAGTCACATAATTAGAATATACAATGAACTTTGGTCACTGATATCACGCAAAACAAAGAAAAGTACCTAAGGCTAATTTATCAACGGACAAAAAATTGGACGAGATAAGACATAAAATCATTTCGACTCAGCTTTATGTAAGTAATCTATTTACGACGCAAATGAGCCTGTATTTTTTAAACTCTCGAATACGGACTTTGGAATGGTGTCCGTTGTGTGGCGATAAGGTCGTACGAAAACACTAAAAATGAGTAACACAATAACATTTTATGACGATTGCCAACCAGGAATCAAAATAAAATTTATTTTTCATTTTTAATCAAAACTAAATCGTTTAGCTAAACGACTTGTGTAGTAGAGTGTGTACTCGACAACAGTTCAAAGTTTACGAATACACATTATAATATTAATAGGCAAGAAAATATATATGTACTATTGTTTATGTCACGACTGCTGAATGAATAAATGAAAAAAATGAATGTTGATGTGCATTAAAGTACATTGTTTTCAGATGTGTTTTGTGGTAACGAATGCAAAGTCAACGTAAGATTTTTATTATTTCACGTTATTGTTTTGTTTTGATGATGATACTGTTGTTGTTGTGTTTAAACACGTGATCGATTAACTTATCGAGAGCGAGGAATATAATAATATAGAATAGCGGATCACTGACGTTTTTTAACAAGAAAAGATTCGATTTATGATTTTTTTAAACAATAAGCTGTATTGAATTAACTTTTCTATATGAATTTGTCTAGGTAACGAAAATAAAATGTCATCGACCAGTATTTAGTGAAAACTTTTTTTGACAGGTGTATTTAACATTGAAAAGAATTGTTTTAAATGTGGGATGCTGTGACTGTGACGCACAAATGGAGACATACTACGAATAAAAAAACTGGCGTGAAAAAAGTTTGCGGTGTGATTTTTTATATGATCGACTTTATTATTAATCTCTTTTTTTGTGAGGGGAAAATCTTCAAATGACTTCTCCTGCCCAGGGCCTGGCGGGAGGGAGTGTCAGACTCTTACTGACTAAAAACTCCCTGTTGCTTCTCCTGCTCTGGGCCGAGGTCGCGGTGCCTCATTGCGCTTACCCCGCAACCCCGGCTGAACATCAGCCCTATAGGGCCCCATCTGTGGTGGTCTATTGGCACTTTGAAGCGCGCGCGGAACGCTACACGCCTTACGCTCGAGTCTGGTTTTTGTCGGGTTGCCCTTACTCGCCCACCGCAGACTCGCACTTACGGTGGCCGGAGATCGTCCCTTGATCCCCGACGCCCGTAGTGTCGCCTATTGCGGCGGCTGGGGCGTGAGGAGGAAAATTGCTCCCTCACGCGGGCCGCTTCCCTCTTTACGAGCATAACTGCTTCACAGAAGGGGCAGCAAGAGAGCAGCCAGTTGCCCAGCCACCGCGCCAACCGAATTATTCCCCCACTTTTATGTAACCATGGAAAAATCAGCCCTTAACTAATTATCTAAGTTGATAGAATATAGTGAAGCTAGTAAGGTACCTGTTGTATGTAGGCGTCGTGTGTGTGGTGCGCGAGCTCCGCGAGGAGCATGTCTGCGAGCGCGAGCGGCGCGGCGCGCGGCGCGGCCGGGCAGCGCGGCAGCAGCACGTGCAGCGCGCGGCGCAGCGCGGCGCAGCACGCCGCGCCCGCCTCGCCCGCGCGGCCCCCGCCCAGCAGCGCGCGGACCATGCCCGCGCCGTCTTTCTCCTGCGCACACACATATATATATATTTGTCAAGTGGAACATTGACGCAAATCTAATATATAAAATTCTCGTGTTACAGTTCTTGTTGCCATACTCCTCCGAAACGGCTTAACCGATTTTAATGATTTTTTTCTGCTTATCCGGTATCTATGTGAATCGGCCGATATCTATTTTTCATCCCCCTAAATGTTAGGGGTAGTCCATCCCTAAATTGTATTTTTTAGACAAAACTTTTTATTTCTCTTTTTTATGATACAACAAACAAAAATACATACAATCCTCTATTTTCAACCTTCTACGATCAACCCTTATTTTTTAATAGCCAAAAACGGGTCAGCTAGTGTTTTATATGAACTGAATTTTGTGTACACGATTACTTTGCATAACCATAAATGATAAAATGTATTACTCTAAATTCATAAAGGAATATCTTAAATGTTTAGACCCGAAAATAATTGTGCTTGTTTTGAATTGAAATCGATTCCTTACTATACTTACACTTTTCCTAATTTTAAATGCATAAAATGTTTCTGTAACGAAATTTTTTGTTTGCTCTTAAAGAAATAATAGAATAATTCAAAAACATTATTGAATTGAATAATATGAAAAAATTCTTTACATATATAATAATAAAAATATTATCTCTAAAAATACGAGTCACAGCTTACCAAATATGTTTGTAGGAACCAGTGTGGTAGGAACTGGCCAGTACTAATAGCTCTCTTTAGCACTGAAAGCAGTGTTTCTGGATCGGCGTCTTTCAATTTTGGGTATAACGTGTCGAAGTCGATGTTATCGCCTCCTGGAACAAGAACAGATCACACCTTCAGAAATTCAATTGGTGGAAAAACAACTTCAATTGGTGCAAGAACTCTTTATCATTTACATGTTTTGTTTTGAAAGTTCAGAGAAAGAAAAGAATATCAGCTCTTTGGTATGGTAATAGCACTTATATTACACACTATACTTTAATATTAGCCAAGTGCTCGATAACGCATTAAAGGTTAAGTGTGGGACAGCCAAGCTTCGGGTCGGCTCGACCGAAGTGATACCACGGCCTCACAGAAAACCGGCGTGAAATATCCACAGCGTTGTGTTTCGACGTGTGAGTGAGGTTACCGAAAGCGCAATCCATCCCATTCCCCTATCCCTTCCCAATCCTTAAATATCCGCAACCCTTATCCCTAAAAGGCCGACAACGCACTCGTGACCCCTTTGGTGATTCGGATGCCCATGGGGGGAACTGACTGCTTACAATAGATAATTCGTCTGATCATTTGCCGACTTATCGTATAAAAAAGGCATATCGTAGTAAATTAGCTTAAAGCACGTATTTAAATGCACTTACGGAGTAACGCTTGTTGCACGGGATCCAAGGATTCGGTGTCTTCTTCTTTTAACTCGGCGGCCAATTCCTCCGGACCAATAACCTTTTGGACAAATAACTTTTTATATACAGATATGGTGTAATGTATGAAATAGATTGGTAGATTCATTGTTCACTGTCCTACTTCCTTCCTGATTATACTCATAGCTTTTAACACATTCAGTGCCCCCGACGCGTATGTTCGTGCGAGGAAACGCACATACGCGTCGGGGGCACTGAATGTGTTAAAGAAATAATTAATTTTAATTTGTGTTATAAAATTGTTTCATTTGGAGATATGTGCACAGTTTTAGTAATAGTTTTAAAACATTTGTAAGGACAAAGCTTTGTAAGAGTTGTTTATCCCAGACACTCATGTTTTGCATGTTTGTGCTGTCGCATTGGTCCTGTAGTGATGGTATAAGTGTGATAAAGTCCGGGTAATAAGTTACCTGCAGCAATTTCCCCGAGTCAGCGGGGCGCGCGAGGAAGGCGTGGTCGGGCTGCGCGAGTCGCAGACAGACGAGCGCGGCGGCCAGACAGCGGCGCCGGACGCGCGCCGCGCCCAGCGACCTCTCCGCGCCGCACCGTGCCGCGCGCTCGTACATCACGCCCGCCGCTACATACAACCAGTGCTACCTTACTCTCTATCCTTGTCTTTATGTCTTATATACACGTTATAAGCATAAAGTGTCGTCAATAGTGAAAGGCAAAATAAAAAGATTTTATTACATGATTTTATGTGCAGATATAGTGCCTAGTTCTAGATAAAATATCCATCCTTTGTTGGACATAAACCTCTCTCTTAACAAATTTCATGGAATCCAACCCTTGTTAAACTCTATATTGTCAGAATCTAAATCCAAAAAAGTTTTGTTCATGAACAAACATTATTCAAAATGCATTTAATGTGTTTTGCAAAAATATTTCTAATAAAAATATCGATACGTAGTTAGTAAATACCTTTTCTGTAATGATGTCGTGAAACATGCAGCGCATACAAGAAGTCGTAGTATGGGTTATGCGCGTGCGCATCGTGTAGCTTGGCCCGGGCGGCCGCGGCGCGCTCTGCGTCCCCAGCCAGCGCTGAGCACGACACTAGCGCGCCCAACTCGCGACGAGATGCTGTTACAATTATGATGTAAACAAAATGAATATACCAAACTCCTTTGATTGGATAATCAAACATTATAGATTTAGAAATCAAAAATGTGTGTACCCATAACCGTAGGGTATGAGTTTGATGGAAGCTAAACAATAATATGGATTGTATGAGGCGTAAGAGCCACTGTGTTTACCCCAGGAGACAAAGTCGTAAACCAAAGACTTTTTCCTATTTACTTTCGAATTTGTCGTTTTGAAAGTAATTGTTTAAGGGCTAATTTGATTTTTATATATTAGGTATTATTACCGAGCGTGGTGAGCAGCGTGGCGGCGGCGGCGTGGCGCGCGTGGGGCGCGGGGTTGGCGGCCGCCGCAGACAGCGCGCGCGCCGTGCGGCCCCCCGACAGGTGCCACTTGAACACCACCCACTGGAACATCGCCTGCAAACACAACAACACTTGCAACCTTTTCACGCCACACGCTGAAGCCCGATATTACATTACCATTTACCATAACTATATGTGTTGTAGGTACACATTAAGCCATAAATCGAACCCCAATCGTTGTACCAACGTTGTAATCAAATCCAATACAAGCTCTTTTCAATAGATTCCAATGTAGATCCAAAACAATAAACGAAACTGATGGCATCACAAATCCTTCATCGTGCTAGTGAAGTTTAGCATACACTACTATTAGGGAGGAGAGCCCACCAGCACTGGTAGCGAGAAAACTCTTTTTCCATTTTCAGGGACTTTATTCTTTGTTCCCTAAACCATTGCAAAAAGAGATAAATAAATAGGTTTTCTTACCAAGAAGTAATTATTGAAGCCCTCTACCCACTGATACCTTTAAATCTTGATATGCATTGTCGAATTTCACATTACCAAGTGGGCTACAAAACAAAGTGGTTCACGTACGATTGTTCACTGTGCACACTAACTCACCAGGTTAGGATCATCCTTATCGGCAATGCTGATAGCAGTCTCTGCAAGACGGACGACACATGCTCCTGCGTCGTGTATCTCGAACAGTTTTATAACCTGTGGATAACATTTACTTATTAATTATAACGTAATCAGAGCAAGACAAAATCTATACTAATATTATAAATAGGTAAAATTTGTAAGTTTGTATGTAGGGGTAATCTTTGGAACCGATGGTCGGATTCCCGAAATTCTTTCACTGTTAGATAGCTACAATGTTCCCGAGTGCCTTAAAACATCACGCTACTATCAAATGGAGCCGAGCAGCGAGTGAAACCGCGCGGGAGTAGCTAGTAGTCAAAAAAATTAACAGCAGAGTGGATACATTTTTGAAAATTAGAAGTAATCTGAGTAACTTGGACTATGATACAGATATCATATGTCTTTATCATATTCATGATGTGTAGGGCTTGTCCCAACTACCCGCCTGTATGATTAATCTATACTTATAATAAATTTGTAGAGAGTTCAATTCTGTCCATTAAATATATTTTCAAAATAACTATCAGAGGTTGATAAGTGATCGATACTGATGCCAAAAAGGCAATCAGTAAAATTTTTGTCTGTCGGTCTGTCTGTCTGTATGTTCCAGAAAGAATTATTATAGAAACAAAAAGTACTCGAAGGATTTGAACAAAACTTGGTACAATTATTCTTTATACTCCTGGGCAGGTTATAGGATACTTTTCATCACGCTACAAATAATAGGAGCAGAGCAGTGAAGAGAAATTTTGGGAAAACGGGAAAAGTTAAGTTTACGTCGTTCCCTTTTTTAAGTTTACGTCGCGTGTGTAGCCTTAATGGTTAAAGTTACATAGAAATTTGTATGACGGAAATATTTTACATAAATTTACCTACAAAATATCCCACAACAACTTATGTCTATCTTTGATGGTTGACTCTCAGTAACACGTGTAACTCCTGATAGCTAAGCAGTTCGGAGCATTCTGATTATTGTTGTTTACACTTACGTTTCTAACACTCTCACTTATCCCTCATTTAAAAAAATCATTTTTATCTATTCACTAAAAAAATAATGATAGAAATAAGTATATGTACATGCGTGCACCTTTTCGACGCTACGCTTCAAGATAATAATCAATATAATAAATCAATATATAAAACATATAATAAACAATATAACGTCGGTGTCTGTACATGGAAGATAAATAAGAAAACTGAACTTTTTATTCTTAATAGAACCCAAAAAAATGTGTAAGTAATTTTTTATTTCATGTACAGATTGGACCTGTCTACAGATTAATTATAAGTAATAGAATAAGATTGCCAGGAACTTACTACATTTTTTTTGGCGCGCTAAAAATCAATAATTAGAGATTTCCTCAACATCCTGGTTTATTTTATTTCAATCAACCCTGTCTATCTGTCTGTCTCTCCTTAACACCTAAACTACTGAACCGATTTGGATTAAATTTAGTACACAGATAGTTTGAAACTCGGGAAATGATATAGGATAGATTTTATCCCGGGAGTTCAAAAGGAGAACTTCCTGAAAATCCCACGAGATCGGGAAAACCTTTCAGGAGTCAAAACTGTCTAATTTTGTAACTTACACTAAATTTATTTATTTGTTTCATCGTAAACACTTAAGAATATCGCGAGTAGTATGTTATTGGGCATTCTATTCCACTATCGGCAAGTCGCTCGGCAAGTGCGCCTCGCTACCGATAGTGGAATAGAATGCCCAATAACCAATAAGCGACTCGACTCTTTACTCGACCGATAAATTCGAACGGAACAGTTCATTGTGTTGCGTACTTGATTTGGAACGAGTAACTTGTTCCGTACTACTATCGTTCGTTAAAAATTAGCTACTCTACTATCCACTTGCTTACTGACTCGACCGATCACTTGATCGAGTTTGCATTCGCTGTTAACACCGAATGTCAAAAGGCGATGGCGATTGATGTTGGTGTGTGTATGTGTGTGAGTGTGTAATAAAAAAAAATATAAAATTAACTTGTAACCAAAGCGGTAAAGGTTTGTTAGTGTAAATAAGAAACGACTATAAATTAGCTACTTCGTTTAATTATCATAAAACATTGGCTTATCTGGAAACAAAATATCAGTCGCCTGCACGAGCTCTTGTAATTTTCGCCACTGTAGAGAGTCGACATCAGTCTGGAACTTCATTCGGATGAGTGCTTTCTTCCACAGCTCAGCGGAGTCGGTAAGGCGAGCATCTTCAGTCTTGTATACCTTACAGTCGATGTAGAACTCTCCATCGGTGGTCGTTGCGCGACGCTCGCAGCCGCTGGCTACACGGTTTACAATGAATGAAGTTAGATGATCCAGTGAATGTTCTTTGTTTGGGATGTTGCGGTTTTTACTGATGCCGAATATGTCGCTGTCAGTATTGGTTTTCTTACTGAAACAAAAAAAGATGTTATTAGTTAATGTTTAGTACGAGAAGTACAAGGGGGAAAAATATTATCAACTTGGTTAAAAATATAATTTAATATTTTATGAAAGACAGCTCAGATATTTCCTTAGAAAATGCTCCTCTCCTATGTATAACTAAAAGATTATATGTAATTCAAATGGTAGATACGTGTCCATACAATTTACTTTTATAATTTAACCAAAGGTGGATAGTTTATGAAAAATATTAGTTACCTTGCTCGAGCTGATGTTGTATGTGACTGTATCTTGCGTTTCCCATTGCTTTCTGCGGACGGTTTGCGGCAGGATTTTGCTTTTTGTCCAGTGCTGATCGATGTTGTTGAGTATTCACACTCTGAGTCTGACCTGAAATAAAGATAAGAAGGCTAAATTTAGTCATACAATTATTACTATTTAAGTATGCCAATGGAGTAATATCCATTGCGCAGGGCAAGTGTTTGGACAAATACTGGTTCTCTCATATTCCAATGAAATAGCGCTGCTTGAGAATTTACCTCTAGTGGCAGATCGGTTGAAACAAACATATAAATTAACAAGCGGATCACAAGTACGAACGATGAAAATGAACAGAATATTTTGATATAATAGATATAATAATAATTATTGATACACTTACATTTTTCAATCAGAAGTTCCGCCTGGTTTGGTGATTTGGTTGGTGATGACAGTAACTATATTGTCACCGATATTGTAAGGAACTCGGAGTATTTGTATACTGTTGATATCAGAACACTTCGTTGCACTTTGAAGACTGCGAATACTATGTACCGAATACTTGTAGCTTATAAGTTAAAATTGAATTATAAGTCAAGCATGTTAAAATCCATTAAAGTCAATCTGGTATTGCAGTATTAAAGTTACTTTTTCTATAGTCGTATTATACACATTTGTAAATGAAGACATAGGTATCATTTTTCGCTGTAACAACAATGTCGATGCAGCGAAATGACCTAGGGCTGACCAAACGATAGCGTGCACGGATTTGTCATACACTACATTGTTTTTATTTTTTTTAAAATTTAGTAAATATCTCTTAGGTACTAATTTTGTATTTAACTTTTAGGTACACCGTTGTTCACGAACTCTCTGTATTACTGTTTTAAAATGTATTTAGGTGCAATGAAGAGTAAACTAAACGAAGTCTAGCTTAGAAAATATAAACTTATTGTGTAGATTTCCTTAAAACATAAATACATAATTCCTTTAACTACGTCAACAACCACCATAAAATCATGCGAATAATTATTTCTCGATATACTATGATAGATATAAATGGTATTTAGTGTAAAATTTGTATATTGCTAATATATAGATTGCTACCGAGTTATTGCCAACCCTGACTAAAATAGCTGATTATTGCGATTGTGAAATAAGTAATAAGGTTTCGCACACGTGTAAACTATTGGGTAATAACAAATTTTATGATGAAATATTTTATGATTTGTAGACAAAAAATAATAATAATAAAATATAGCCTAAAATATTATTTATTACCTTAAAGGCCTCTCTCGTAGTGAGCACCTTTCTAAATTGTCTGTAATTTTTTTTTTAAATATTAGATTGATCGCACACAAGAAAGTATATACGAAAACTTTCATCTTTTGAAAAAAATTTTCGGGACCTGAATACATAATCTACATATTTGGATTACACACATACTTATGTATGAATCATTACATATTGTGCAGGTAATTATCAACAATTAGAACATAATAATAATTTTCTCAATTTCAACTTAGAATTTACAATTATATACTTATTTTTTATTAGTACCTAATAAATTAAACATTTTTTTTATTTCAGATACCAAACAAATAACTTGTCTTTGCAAAAGTATTTAATTACCTGAAGTTTATCAACATATTATTATTTGGGCCACGCAGATACATATTCTAATGTACGAAACATTTCATTTTTCGCAGGTAATTATTAGATATATTATTTTCCTCGGAACGTACCGTAACCTACCTACTAATCATATAAAGTACCTAATGCATATTTTTTTTATTTCAGATACATACCGCATGAATATTATTACCGATTTGCCTGTGAATAAAATTACACAAAGACCCTGGAATGAATATCAAGTTGTACTAATTTTATAAAATATTTTGTAACAATACACCTAAGACCGTGAATATTACTTGTAAGTATTACGTAATCTAATTGTATTGAAGTAATTATAGTAATCTTTGATTTAAACAATAACATAATGCCTCACTGTTCTGATTGCAAAGTATTTGTAGATAATCGTCGTTGGTCCAGTCATTTACGTAGCAATGTACATAAAAACAATAGTTCTACCCCTATTTATGATAATGTTGAAATTATTAATTCTTCTTTTAAAGAACGAATTATAAGTTATAAAATCAAAGCGATAGGTGAACAAATACAAAGTTTTCCAGAGATGTTTCTCAATAGTATAAGTACACAAGTCAAGCATCTAATAGATAAATCAATTCAGAAACACACCTCTGTCAAAATAAACTTCGAACTGTTTGCTTCGTTTCTTTTGTATAAAAATGACCAACAAGAAATAAAATCATTCCGTTCAAACAATTTTATTACACACTATAATTACGATTTTGATTCTATATATAAATTAACTGTTAACTTACTATTAAAAAAAATTG